GAAGAACAACAGTGGTGCCCCACCCCACTGGCTGTGTCCTGTAGGCTCCCCCTGGATTCCTGACCCCTCCAAGCCCTCCTCAGCCATATCACCAATTCCAAACTCTATGGCTGAAAACCCTGTGAAATGCCCCCAGGCCTCCCCCACAGGCACGCAGCAGCCTCCTCGGGACACCCTTTCTGAAACCGGGTGTTCGTGCCTCACCTGGCTGTCCCCTGTGGAGCAGATCTCTCCCCCGGGGTGCCCAGGCCTCCCCACTAAGGACGGACTGAGGTCGCCCTCCCACTTGGGCTCCAGGCTCCACAACCCATTTCCCCGGAGGTTGAGACACATCGCCATTTATTGGCCTGAGGGGCAGGGCCTGGGCTGGAGCCACCAGACTGGCCTTCACAGCGGCAGTCGGTGGAGAAGGTGGGAGGGTGAGGGTCAGTCAGGACTTGGGAGGGCACTCGCCTCTTAGGTGCCTGTTCTGAGTGCCCAGGCCTTGCCTGTGAGTCCAGAACTCTCTGGGGAAGCTGATGCTGTCCCCTTACCAGTGGATGCAGTCTCCTCCGAGCAGCCCCTGAAAGCTGGCTGGGGAGTCCGCCTCGGCCGCTGAGCCTCCTTTGTGCTGAGAGCCTCGCCCCTGGGGTTTCATTCACTTCTAAGACCTCTCAGCCACCAACAGCTGCGCCTCAGGAATGAACCCCAGGGAGACGCAAAGACTCTTCTCCTGGGACCAAGTCAGAACTTCAGCCCCTCAAACACCACAGCTTTCAGTGGGCTCCCTTCTTCCATAGCATGGCAGGCTTCCCAACAACTGGGGCAAGCCCTTGGCCTGGGCCTCACAGGGCATGGCCAGGCTGGGCCACCTGAGGACTCAGGCCGCTGCCTTTCAGGCACAGGGCTCTTTCCGCTGGGCATCAAGAACGTGGGCCTCCTCAGCACTGTCTAACGAGTGATTTCCCATCTCTCCACCCTGCCAAACCCTGTATCTGACCAGACGGTGAAAGCGTTCAGGTTACTCTTAAAACACCCAGCAGAGGCTTCCAGGAGCCCGGTCATCTGCTCGAGAATCCTCCAGTGGGGTCTCAGCCAATCCAACCAAGCAAATGCTGCACTGTCATCGACCGTGGGTGCAGGTGAGCACGGCACGAACATTCCCCGCCGTTCCAACGATGGCCCGAATGTGGTAGGCGGGTGTGAATGGACGCTGATCGGCCCAGGTACACAAGAAATAGCTATGCATTGACTGAAGTCATCCATTTGACTCTGAAGCCCATCCCACAGGGTGATGAGAAATTCACCCTCAGTCATTACTGGTTCCCCACACACATTACCCAGGGTGATACCAGGTCCTGGGTCACCACTCCATGCTGTCCAGCTTCATGGCCCCCTCAGATATGGAAGCTTCACTCATCTGGAGGGTGATGCTCTCTGGGCCTGCTGTGATCCCTCTGAAGAAGCTATCCAAAAAGTTATCCCCTCTGAGATTTTGCTGCTTCCTTCAACTCCTGGCCCCAGAGCTTCCAGCCCCTGCTCCCCACCCAGCAAACAACTCCTGGGGCAGGAACACGGAAAGGGTTTAGCTACATGGTTGGAGGTGAAAGGAAGAAAGAAATGGAGAACTCCCAAAAATTCATACTCAATACACCATCTGCCTCCAAACTTACCATTGTATCCAGTTCAGTTTCACTCTTTCCTGGAATATAAATTCCTTGAGGGCCCAGTTGTAGCCCCAACACTCAGAATAGTAAATAGTTTCTCAACATACAATTTTGAATTGGTGAGAAAAAAACAAAAACAGGTGAATGGATAGATGGAGGTGAGGAATGAGAGCAGATGTCCTTTGATAGAACAAACACTCTGAGAGACAGGAGACGCTTTAGAAGGCCTTGAAATATTCACCCCAGTGAGATCCCAGCTCCATCCGAGCCAGCCCCAGGAACTCAACCATCTGTGCCACGTTTCCTCCTCTCCTGTAAAAAGGGATGCATTTTACACCAGTGACTGCTCAGCTAAAGTAAGTTAATGGGTTTTAAATGCTTAGAAGAGAACCTGCACCATGGCGGGCACTCGGTAAGCGTTAGCTATTTTCAGCAGTGGCGGCAGCACGGGAGGAAGCTACGTTTGCCATTACAGCCGTCCAGATCAGAGGCGGCAGGCAAGAGAGCCCCGGCTGCAGCTACTCGGCAGCCGTGTGACTGTGGACAAGTTACTCAGTTTCTCCATAAGTGGACTCTATCGTGTAGAAAGAGTATGAATAAAAACGCTATCAACTTCTGAGGGTTCTTATGCAACAAATGAATTATTATTTAAAGACAGTACAGTCCTTATGACCAGTGCGTGCACAGCTGATGTCTCAAGTGCAAGTCATTATATATAATAAGAGTAGGCAACCATGACATCAGTGAAACACAGCAGCCATGGAATACAGAGAGAAATGTGAAGGCAGTGAAGAGTGCATAAAAATGTAAATATGAGATTTGAAGTCACGGGGGAAAAGACACTCCTAAAACTGGAGAGACAGATGAAGACAGAGAATCACAGGTTACTGGGAGCAGAAGCCACTGGAGCCAGAATCTGGGAGGAAAACAAATGGACAAACTGCTGGAAAGTGAGAGTGGGCTGGCTTGAGAGATGAAAATTCCAGGGGGAGGTCGCCCCCAACTCTTTCATGAATTTTACCTCTGGGAGCCTCACCAGGTTTCTGTGGTGAAAATTTGAGAAGAATCCCCTGTTTTCAACAGGGAGAGGGAAAAGTAACTATTGGAGTGTTCTGCGTTCCATCTGCCCTCAAGGGAAACTACTTGATCAGAGTCTAACCAACTTGGAGAAGGGAAATATCCAACTACCCCAGCCACCTCTAGCCGCCTTCCCTCACGGAAGGGCGAGGCGGGAAGGGGTTGGGAAGCCCAGGTGAAAACCACAGCCCAGGGCAATATGCTCATTAAGACTAAGACCTCATCCGCATGATTATTGGACACACCTTTCCACCACATCCACAGGGCGCCTGTGTAATAAAATGATTACAGCTGAAGGAACTGGAAAAGTTCAAGAAGTTTCCAGGGAAAGCCAAAAACAGGAGAAAAAAAATAAGGATACTAGGAGAAATGGAAGCCTCAGACACCTACAAATAACCCAGCAACAAGTAGTAAAACCAGTCTGACTCCTAGCCAGATAAACATAAATCCTCATGCTAAAGACCTGTTCACCCCAGTTCCTTTTACCTAATGTATCAGGTCACCCTTTCAAAAAACAAAAATTAAAGGTGTGCTAAAAGGCAAGGAAGAAACACCTGAAGAGACAAAGCAAGTGACAAAATAAACTGAGTAATAATAAAACCGAATTTTAAAAAAAAGGAAAGCAATGGTCAACAACTGTAATCAAGAGGAAATGCATACTATAACAATAGGACACTAACATGTCTAAACCCTGTTTACAAAAATATATAAGAAAAAGACAAGAGCTGGCTGAGAATGGAGGGAAGAAAATAAGAGTATTAACGATCAGAACAATTAGAAAAAAGAAAACATAATTCAAGCAATGAAAGATAGGAAAGGAAACAAAATACCTATTCCATACAGATGAAATGTCAGAAGGTCATAGGATTATAATTTTAACAAAGTTGTAAATTAGTTCAACTTTCCTATTAGATTACACTCACACACACACACACACACACACACACACAAACTGAGTCATATAACTAAATCTTACCACCTAAAACCAAGGCAAGCACACGCAAGTCAGAAAATTCGCTAATGCATCCAGAAAGGAAAAAAACAGAGGCGAAAATTTATTTAACAAATTGAAAAGTGAAAAAGGAACAGAAAAGGGTCACCTCATGTTCACAACAGACATCACTGGCATGAATATGAATCACATGGCTTCAAAATGCGTAGACTTATACAGTTACAAATACAGGAAAACTTAAAAAGAAACACGAAGGTATAAGACTTGTACCTGTTTACCTGTATCACAGGTGTCATTGGCTGAAAAGGATGTAAGCAGCTTTTAAGCAAAAAGGAAGGGTATCAGGAGCCACAGAGCTGACAGAAGCCAGGGTCCCCCTGCGGGCAGAGTGCTAAGGCCGACAACTCGTATGTGCCCCAGATGAATTATGTACAAAGGCAAGACCGGCCAGTGCCCGGGGACCCTCGTTAGCAGTGGCCTGCCTGCGGCTCTCTGGGGCACAGGCAGTTCCTAGACCAATCCTGCCCTCCCAGTGGTCATAAACTGAAGCAGCCCCTCCTCCCTCCCACCCCCACCCACCACAGGCAGAGCCTCTCAAGTCACTTTCCTTTAGGCTGAATCTGAACCCAAGTTCTGGGGAGGGTCCTGTAGGTCCCCGGTGTCCCCTCACCCCACACACCAAGGTTCCCAGGCCCCTCAGTGAGAACTCTCTGTACCGCCCAACCCAGATGCCACGTAAGTAAAAACCAAGGAACAACAACAAAAGATTTAACTATGCCAATTGCTATAGATTTTCAACGCAAATAACAGGGGTTCAGAATACCGATTCATTCCTAGAGCTAGCATGTTCGACTTCAATATATTTGAAAGACATACAGAATCAATACATTTTCGGATAAATTGTGTATCCTGAGCTACATAGTAAAACTGCATCTGACCTTAAAACACGGGAGAAGTAGGAAGAAAATAAGAAGTTATGTTTTAAAAGATGAACGTATTTCACCGTCTCCCTTCCCCTGATCAACTGAATGTGGTAATCTTGCCAAACATTTCCAAAAATTAACCCCTAAAATGACCCCTGAAGAAGAGACTATTCATTCGAAAGAAATGGGCCAAATCATACATGATGAAAAATTGCTCCACCCTTGATCAATTATAGGGTTGACAGCTGTAAGAAAACACACAAAAAATTATTTTTTCAGTCTTATGCATTTAGTCAGTGGGTATTTTTTTTAATTTCCCAAACCACTATTTATCGAAGAAATTATAGAAATACAAAAGCTGAGGCATAAACACTTTAAATAAGAATTCATACTACAAGGAAGTAAGAATCTTTCAACTTTTATTTCTAGGATACATTTCATCTGGAACCTTTTGTTTTCTTTACAATTTTCTCCCTAAGAGAAATGAATACAATAAAAATATAATCCAACTACCAGCAATGTTTGTAACCAGAAAAGAATCTAAAATCTCTGGTGTGATAATATAGGATTTTTTAAAAAATATAAACTTCATACCAGAAATAAAGCCTGAATATTCTCTTTTTCTTTAAAAATATAATTTTTCCTTCTTTGCTCTTCAATGTAAATCTTATAATCAACCAATTTTAAAGCCTATTTTTAAACTAGTAATTATAATGCTATAGCACTGTTTTTTTCCTACTTTGTATCCTGTTCTGTACTGTGAATCAACTAATAATTGCAAGTGTCCAAAAAAAAAAAAAGCCACAAGGTTGTAGCAAGATCCTTCCAATATACTGTTTAAAAAAAAATTCATTAGCAAACTGAAACCTACTTAACAAATTGCACTTTGCCATGTTTATGAAACTAGAAGATGTGTACAAAGCACTTTTGCAAACTGTAATGCTCTCATGGAAAATACTTTTTTAATCTGTTTTGACTAGAAAGGCTGCTGACTGGGATAGAAAATCAGGGACAGAAGGCTCCGCGAAGCCTTGTTCTTCTTTTTTTGTTTTTGGGGAGGGGGAGTTCATAAATCGTTGGGTGCGGCACAAAGATTGCAGTGACATACGACTATTTTTCTTAAATGAGAATAAAGACCAAGGGGGGCACAGGAGTAGACCAGTACTTTACACCAGACTGAGAAGAGTGAAGCCGTCTGTCTCCCAACTAGGAACAAGGAATGAGAGAAGTTAGTTTTTCCCCCACTTCAGACCAGCTCTTCTGTGCAGAGCTTTATTAGTTGAAATATAGTCCATATTGAAAACAGTATTACAAATCCCAACATAAATGGTCCAGGAATGATGTCCTTTCTTTAGTTTAGAAAGATTGTCAAAAAGCCTAATTATAAACATAGGAACAACACACCTGAACCACAGTAACACTCTCCTGCCTCTAAATAAAAAGCATTATCCATAACAACTATTTGGGGTATTCTGGGGAATATGGGAAGTTAAGCAAAGGATTAAGAAGTATGGTAACAAAAATAATCCCAGTGAGGGCTTCCTTCTTGTCAGCTAGAATGCAAAATAGACACAAGAGCAACTTCCTTCCATGAGTCACCTTAATGGAACTAGACAGTCCCTTGCAGTCAGACCCAGCAATGAAGGGCTGCAGAAACCTGGTCATCTATCTGTACCAAGACTCAGGTGACCAAAAGAAAGCATCTTCCATCATCTAAATGATGAGCGGACTGACGAGAGCGGATGAGCCAGGGTTTGCTAACAGAATTGAGCGAGTCAGGCATGCTGGGGAGGCTGCAATGAGGGGCTGTGGAGCCTCCTTCCCTAAAGTTTCTGAGCAGACTCCCCGTGGCTCTCCGGGAGCAGGTCTTAGCACGGGAATGGGTTAAATGGCCTTGCAACTTCTCTTCTGGCCCTCGGATGCTCTTAACGCTTTTCTTTAGTGCCTTCTTTCCCCAAGAGAATATTCAGGCCAACTTTTTTTTCTTTTTCTGCATCATTGGGCATCATAAACTAGCAATTTGGAATATTCCTAATCTCACTGAGTATCTCATGTTAGTAATGATACCTTGAAGAAGAATATAGAAATTAAGTGCCATTTACACGAGTCAAACAAGCCCATGTCATACTTTGAGGATTCCACATTAATAAAACTTAGCTATGATATGTAAAGAACTATTTTTGCCAAGGTTTAACTACTGAACTTTAAACCAATTTCAGTATTCCATGTAAAGTTCATTTATATTGAAGTAACATGCCTTCAAGTTTTCTACATACAACAATAAAGTAAGATTTTTTTAAATTTACATATATTTTAAACCAATTCACTCCTTTACAATCACACCCTCAGTCCAACATTTAAACTATAAACCCAAACTGTCAAATGAGAACAACAGTGGACCAACTGACAGTATCACTTAAGTGAAAAAATAATGCAAGAAAAGGTCAGCGTTAAAACTTAGAAAATAAACATAAACAGGTTCATTGGAAATCTGCTCATATGCCTGGTGTGTTCAGAAATGAACCTCACACAGAACAGATCCCACTGTGATATTAGACAACTCATTCCTTTCTCGTTCTCTCATTCCACGATGCATGTCTCACTGAGGTTTATATAGTGATTAGTTACCCTAACAGCAGACATGAATATTAAATACACAGCCTATTCCAGAAATGGCATATGCTCCCAACAATTGTTTTGCGCACTCCCTGAATTATAAAATAGTTCAATCTTTTAGGATCATAAAAATGAAAGGGCTTAGATCTATTCACATACATTGTGCATTAAATGTTAGTAGGTTAAGACAGTAAGGTGAAAGAAAGGAGTAGAAGGGTACAAGTAAATTTTCTTTAAACAATTCCAATACATTAGATAGTATTGTTAATGACATGTATTTATTTTAACTAGGTTATGAAAAAAAATTACTACAATTTGCATCGATTTCTTGGAGAAGCTAATAATAAAACATTAACTATACATATTTATTTGTATATTTATTTGAAGACTCTTTGGTAGCAATTGTGTTTCTTCCACATTATAGGATTTTTTCAAAGTAAATGGCAAAATTAACTTACTAATCAGCCTATGAAAGATAAATCATGGTATTATTCATTTGGTTTTCCTATAAAATGTACTTGAACCTGACTATTAACCTTGCACTAATCATGCACTTAACACAGTATCTGTTTAACTTACGTACATATAAAATGAGAGACTAATACCAGAAAGAAATTAGACAGTAATGAGAATCAATGACAAAACATAACAATGACAACTGTTCTTAAGTAATTTATTTTTAAATTATAAGATTTACAGTGTTTTGATTATGCAAAATAGCATAATGAAAATTAAACCAAATCAATAAACCAAAAGAGAAAGAAAACTTAGTTTTCTCAAATACGAGTACTTAAACCGTCATTGTAATAAGTATCTGATGTTCCAATCACGTCTTATGTAGACATAAGTACAATCATTTCAAACATTTCGCTTGTGGGTTTAACTTCTCATTTTCAACTTTCATGAACTGCAATGTCATTTATTTCAAATCCTATTGTACCTAGTGTTTGTACTGCAACAGCAGCAAATCTCAATGTGCAATCAAATGTGGAACTGGGCACAGCTTTTAGCCGCAGACAGAAATTACACACTGCATTCAGTACAGCAGAGTACGTTCTATTAACCAGAGCGTAGAGTTTAGTACACTTATTGCAGGGCTGGTATTTCTTTTCCTTTGACCAGAACCAGCTGAGCTTCTGAGCTGACATATTACTGCTGTGGATAGTAAGACTGCTGTGGGGGCTGAGGGAAGGGGTATGAAGGCTGCTGGGGTCCCGGGTACGGAGCCTGTCCGGGGGTCTGGTGATACACGGGTGGATATGGCATATTATACTGGCCGTATGCGTAAGGATTATAGCCCATGGGCATGGGCATTTGGCAATACCTGATAGGAAGAAGAACACAAAACACTGGATTGGTAAATCAAGTACTAGAAAATAAAACATAATTATTCTAAAATGAAGTTTTCCTCTAGAAAGCCATTTTTCTCTATTTCTCAGTCTACTGAAGAACAGTGGAGAGAAAAAGCAGCTGTATCAAGGTACTTGCTAGAGAAATGTGCTCTATCCTGTTATTAACTGAAATGGAAGAAAACCAAGTGTTTAATACTACCCCAAAAATAAGATTGTTGAAGGAAGTAAGACTAAATATTCAACTATAAACAAGGAATAAAAACAGAGACCCCTCATTTTAACGTGGCAACCTAAGAACATTTCTGTTTCACAAAATTCAATGTACACTGCAATGCTCATAAATTTACTGTTCACAAAATTTTAGTATTTGGAAGAGATAATATACTAAGTACAGTTTGGAAGACATCTCAAAAGGTAGTTAAATTCTGGATTTTTAAGATTAAAAAAATTATCCCAAAGAAAGATGATTTTTAAGAAAGTACATGCAGGGGGAGGATATAGCTCAGTGGTAGAGTGTGTGTTTAGCATGCATGAGGTCCTGGGTTCAATCCCTGGTACCTCCATAAAAAAATTAATAATAATAAAATCAACAAGCAAACTTTTAATAAATAAACCTAATCCCTTCCGAAAAAAAAATAATTTTTAAAACTTAAAAAAAAAAAGCACATGCATAATTTGATAGATTTCTATTCAACAGTTGATCAGAATGCCAAGACTTCAAAGCATAGGTATATAAGTAAGACCTTATCAATCTTGCTATGCTAAGCTCAGAAAAAGCAGCCATCGGTTTATCACACCTAAGTAAAGAGAACCAGGGAAACATATTCTGAATTCCATACAGTAAAGATGGCATTTAATATAAACCCCATATGTAAGAACTAAAGACATATTAAGTAAGCCTGGGAAATGGCTATTCAACTACTCAAATAAAGTGACTATAACATTATTTAACGCATATTTCCTTGTGAGCTGACAATGAAGCTTATTCATTTATGATACCTCCATTCAGAGAAGGGATGACTTTGTTTTTAAAAGATTAACTAAGCAGCACTATTTACAATAGCCAAGGCATGGGAGCAAACTAAATGGCCATAGACAGATGAATGGATGAAGAAGTTGTGGTATATATACACAATGTGATACTACGCAGTCATTAAAAAAAGTGAAATAATGCCATTTGCAGCAACATGGATAGACCTGGAGATCATCATACTAAATGAAGTAAGCCAGAGAGAGAAAGAAAAATACCGTATGATATTACTTGTATGTGGAATCTTAAAAAAATGACACAAATGAACTTATTTAGAAAACAGAAACAGACTTACAAAGAAAACAAACTTACGGTTACCAAGGCGGGGCAGGGGTGGAGAGGGATAAATTCAGAGTTCAGGATTTGCAGATACTAACTACTATACATAAAACAGATAAACAACAAGGTCCTACTGTATAGCACAGGGAACTATATTTAATACCTTGTAATGGCCTATGATGAAAAGAATATGAAAAGGAATATATTTATATATATATGCATAAATGAATCACTATGCTGTATATCAGAAATTAAGACAACATTGTAAATTGACTACACTTTAAAAAAAATTTAACCAGAGCTAGAAATATTAGCTAATTCATTGGGATGTACAAAGTTTCAGCCTTACCCGGGATACCCTGGATAGGTGGGGTATGGGGGTCCCTGGGCCTGTGGAGGGGGAGCTGAACCAGGAGTCTGCGATGGAGCTGGTGCAGTGGTGCCGGTGCCCACTGGAGCTGGAGCTGCAGCTGGAGCTGGAGCTGCAGCTGGAGCAGTAGCAGGAGTTCGATTTGCTGGAAGCACAGGAGGTGGAGGCCGGGCTGGGGGCTGGGGCTTAGTAGGCTGTAAGAAAAAGTCAGCACTGACTACAAGACGTATCATGTTTCTGTCAATTATCAATTAAAATAAATGAGGGCATATGAGAAACTCTAGAATCCAACCAAATATATTTCTAATTCCCATTGTTAAGTGTGGGCTTATCACTCTACAAATGTAGCTGAAAAATAATTCTCCAATTTGTGGATACTCCACAGCCACTGTTCTCTTCCTCATGGCTAACAGTTAATCATTTACTGCTCATTCCTGCGCCCATCAATGGTCAGACATTTGAGGTGGGAGGAAGGAGTGGGCCAGGTACAGTTTATTACTGTAATCTCCCCTTGGCCCCGTGAGCTTTCACAGGAAAAATTTCAAACACCAGAAAACTTAAAAGAATACTACCATAAATAATCACCTATTTACCAATTCATTAATTACTAACATTTGGCCATATCTGATTTATCTTTAGCTATATCCATATATTTATCTATCTATATGTTTGCAGAACCATTTGAAAGTTAAATTGCAAACTTCAGAACACCAGCCCTAAAGATTTCAGCATACAATTCCTAATATTATCCTACATAATCACAATACCATTTCACCCTGAGAAAATGAGTAATTACTCCCTAATATTGAGTATTCACTCCGCATTCAAGTTTCTCTATTTATCAAAAAAAAAGCTCTTCTAGGTGTTTTTTATGAACCAAGATCCAATTGAGGTTCATGGGTTGCATCTGATTATTACGAATCTTTCCTCTTTTAATCTAGACAATGCCCCTGACTTTTTTTTTTCCTATGACATTCACTTTTAGAAAAGACCAAGCTGGGTGTCTTACAGAATGTCCCAGTTATTGACTGTCCAAGCATTTTCTAATGGCAAGATTTAACTTCTTGTTTTATCAATGTATTTGCTACAAAGTGAAAGTCGGTTCTAAAGACTTGATTAGATTCAAGTGAAACATTTTGGGACTAGAATTCATGAGAGATGCTGTATTCTTCACACTGCAAAGCATCAGAAGGTTGGTCCTGATGAAAGTGGTGATCAGTATCTCTCTATAACATAAAGTCTGTTTTATCCTTTACAGCAAGCAAGCTGTAACATAAAACTTCCCTTTTAAAAATGTGGTTGCTTACTGACCGGCATGGTTCTTGGCGCTGGAGTTGGAGGAGTGGGAGCATGTCCCCCTGCTGGAGAGGACTGATATGCAGGTGTAGGAATTGAAGGAGCACTAGGTTCTCTGGCAATGCTTTGTTGCAAGTCCCTTATCAAAGACAGAAGTGTTAGAAATTAACACAATTTTGAAAACCAAGACATACAAAACACCAGATTGTTTTCTTTCTTTTCTTCATATATGAAACACAGAAAATTGACTCTAAACAGTGACGGTATTTTAAAATATAGTACATTTTTGTTCTTGACTAGAACTAACTGAAATCTTCTTTCCTCCTACTATTGAATAAAGTAAAGTTAGTTCTTATTCTATTTCTGAAGAATAGGTAAACTTTTTCAGACATCAGTCACAGCTAGAGTAAGTAGCATGTCAAACTAGGCAAGCCATCCTAAGAGACTGCCCTCTCTCTAACAAGAGGTCATCCCCTAGAGGAGAAACTCTTTTTTCTTTTAACGGAGCTACTAGGGATTGAACCCAGGACCTCGTGCATGCTAAGCATGTGCTCTACCACCGAGCTATTTCCCTCCTCCCTAGTTGAGAAACTCCTAAATGATCATCTAAAAATTATCAGAAAACTACAACTGTTCATAGTCACCTAGCTAATATTTTAATCACTGTATCATACCAGTGTTTACAGAAGACAAAACAACAGTGAGAAAGTGAACCCATTCAAACCATGGTGCAAATTTCTTGATGAAAACTTTCTGAATATATTCAAAATGTGACACTGAAATATTTTACGTTAAAAGATACCTGATAATCTATTAAAGTAAATTCATTAAAGATAGATTCTTAAAAGGACGATTAAATTATAGTATTAACATTTTTTAATACGTTAAAGTCTCCTCTAACAGTAAACCGGAATGCACCCCCAAATCTCACTAATCAAAGCTCTAAAGTCAAATGCACTCTGTGAAATACTTGGTATCAACCAGCTTCTTACTGTACCGATGCACACACAGTAAACATGACATGACCCACAGTGTCTGCAACAGCACCTGCTGTCCTGATATAACAATTAACAGCAATTTCCAGAGTCCCCCAGACCACACTTACACTCTCAAAAAGAATCTCAGTTGGAAGTTAAATTAGACATTGGACATACAAAGAAAACTAACACACATTCATCAAGAAATCAAAAGTACCAGTTAACGTTGGTAAATTTGTAATAAATCCTCACAATATAAACTGTAAGTTTTTAATCAATATAAAAATTTTAAATGGTTAGATTTTGAAACATCTAATATATGTATCATCTCATATATAGTAAAATACTTATATCTATTATTTAAAATATTTGTTTATAATTACTTATATATTTAAGTTATTTAATTAGATATTCAATATTTAATCACAAACATAATATCTAACATGTATAATTATATTATAAAGCATATAAAACGTAATACTTTGATAAACTCCAGAGATGGCTGGAGTAAATAACACACTTATAGGACAAATGAGAATTTCCTACCCACTTGCTAATTATATAAATCAAAGCTATTAAATTACAGATCCATTTTTATGTTTCACAAACTGGGGTTCTCTGCAAGATTGAGTTTGAACAAAGGGTTCCACAGCTCCCCTCCCCAAAAAGGAAAAATGCTGGGGTACACAATCTGAAAAATAAAATTACAGACTACTTGGTTGTGACTATAAAAGATAAAATCCCTTTAATTATTTAGATTAATGTAATTTTCTGAAAATATATTCACTTGATTCAAAAACTAAACAGTGACAGACCACTACCTACAGATTCTCACTCCACCATTCACTCCCACAGACAACTATTATTCTTTACTTCTTAAGAACCTGTTCAGAACTTCCTTATCAGAAATAAACCAACTCAAACGTGTATTTTTATCTTCTCCTTTTTCACAAACACATTAGAAGGATGCTATACCATGACAGGAAGAGACTGGAGAATATCAATGGCAAGAATTTTATTTAGGACTTTCACATCCACATTCATAAATGAAGCTGGTCTGAAGACTTTTGTTTTAATTAACTCTGTCAGACTTTCTTATCAGTAAGACTAATCTGGAGGGGTTTTTATTTAAATCTCTAGAACCATTTAAAAGGCATTCTTATGATTTGCCTTTTAAAGGTTTAGAAGGAAGACTGAAAACAACCCATCCTGCTCTTTACTGGGGGCGGGAGGAGGTAACTCGTAACTTCTGCTTCTATGGAAAACAGGTTCACTGCGGACAGAGAGAACAACAGTCAGGTCATCTGAAGGGCTCAAGAAAGGCCCATGAGCGTAACCGTCTCTGGGTTCTGCATGTTCACCAGAATGAACACGTGACTCTGTATGCACCTGAAGGGCAGTGTGCACATAAACCCTTTGGCTCACATCTTGGCGCACATTCCTTGAGTTCCAACAGCAATCACCCCACCCTCTGCTGGCATGCAGTGCTGCCTACCGACATTTTTTCACCTTTTTATAAACTGGCTTCATCTTTTTGCCTGACTGCCTAAAGGATTCTGCCTTATCTTTTAAGGCTAATACTTTACATGCCTTGGTGTTGACAGTTCTTGTTCATCTTTCCTGAACAAACGATATATACCCTTTCAACAAGCTTTCACTTATTTTATGGAAATGTTCTTGAATAATATCATTAAAAGTTTGTTCTGTCTGCTGTTTTGATTTTTCTTCGAAGGGAATTCAATTTTATATGTATTGGCTCTTCTTTGCCCACCTTCTCTAATCCTTTTTAGCTCTTTCTTTGCTTTGGTTTCCTTTTCTTTGATTACTTATTCTCCACTCTGAGCTCCTGTGTTCTCCTCACTGTCTGTTCTCCTCTTTGTTCCTTCCTGTTTCATCCTGTACCTGTGATGCCTTTGTTCTTCTCTTCTGCTTGTTTCCTGAATCCTGACACCTCATGTCTTATCCCCTCCTGTTTTCTTATCACTTTCCTTGAGTTCTGGCATTATTTTGTGTTGTTCCTTAAACTGCCTGCTTCATAAGCTTTTTCTTTAATTCATGGTAAAACTTTCATCTGTTCTGTGACACTATTATTTCAGTGAATGTTCTCCATCTATTAAGTTTTGTAAAACTGTGTTTTCTTTTTCCCTTAATGAACACTGTATCTTCATTCCGATATGCGTCAGCTTTCTGTTGACTGAGTACTCAGCACCATGCTGGTCCTATGTTACTTGTCAGCTTCCTCAGTAGGCTCCTCCAGAAAGTGATTTTGCTGACATTTCCTGAGCTGTCGCCCCGTCTCCCTCATGTTCTACAGCTCTAGTTTCCTATGAGGAACATATTTGCAACTTTGAGGTAAACTGCTTATGCTTATCTGCATTTCCTGAGCTCTGTTGCCCTGTTCTGCCATCATTTCCGTGACACTGCCATACTCCTACACCCAGAGTTTCTGCTCCTTCTCATCCTTCTGTTCTCAGACCACCCAGTTGTTTGCTTGCTGCTTTGTAAAACACCACGGAGGGAAGGAAGGAGATTGCTATCTCACTTTGCCAACTCACTGCAGAAGTCTCCACGTAGGATTTTTTAAAAAGAGGTAGCAGAAATGATTTCTTAAAAGAAGAATACTTCAAAATACAATCTGATACATAAAACAAACTTACTTTAAGAGTTCATCTCTTTCTGTCTTCCGTGCAAACACTATATCGCTGCATTTGTTTTGGAACCTGACGAGTATTTCAGTCAGCTCATTGTAAAACTATGAGCAAAGAACAAACACAAGTGGGAAACCTGAGCAACGTTTTAATCTAAAGAGGAACACAATCTAAAGCTCATTTGTCAGTGACGGTTAAAGCTAAAGAACTAAAATCCTCTACATGAGACACAGTCATGTGTCTTAGTCTAGTACCTTAACATTAAATATGACCGAAGACTACCTAAGAAAATAAAAATAAAATCATCTTTAGAAAGCACTGTCCTCCAAAATTAAATGGCAACAAGTTAAGACATTTCATGAACATGAACATGTTCCCAATTCCTAGAGAATAGTCAACTAACTTAATAAAGACACTAAACCTATTTAAATGGAAGTGTTAAATCTGCACATTCACTTCAGAAATGCAGGTGTCATTTCAGAAACCCTTAGAAGAATTTCCAAAGGCACTCTGGAGAGTTTTCTCAGCTTACCTATTTCAACAAAGCATTTTAAATCAAATTAAAATGTTATTTCACTATCCCCTCTCTGGAAGTATGTCTATGCTCTCTTCAGAGGGTTTTACATTGCATCTACCATATTTACATCAAGATACCTATATTCAGTGATCATTATGGAGTTAAATTACCAAAAGGAATTATATATCTAAAAAACTTAAAAATCACTTGTTCCCTCAAAAGCAAAGTAATTGGTAAAAACAAGTAAAAGCATTTCCCTAAACTATTTAAAGGAAAGGCAAGAAAATACTTAAAACATATTTAGTAAGCACTCTGAGACACAGGCAGATCACAAATCTATCATCATTCAAACCATCAGGACAGAATATAAAAGACCTGCCCAACCCCTTCCCCACCACAGATCAGCTCTGACTACTCCTGTTCCCTCACTGGTCACTCAAATTGGCCAACTTCCTATCCCCCAACAAAGTGTCCCTGACTTTTGACATCTCTGTGCTAACTCCTGGTACCTGGAATGCCTATACCCCCTCCGCCTGATGAGATATAAAATTCATTCTTCAAAGTTCCCATGAAATATTACCACCTTCATTAAGCTTTCTCCCACTTGTAACAAAGCTCTCGGGGCAAAAGGCAGTAAAGCTAAGAAATTCAAGACAAAGAATAATTTGGTCCAACCGCAAACACCTTAACTTCCCAAACTATATTTCCACATCTATACTGGTCAGTTAGCTGTCATTTCTTTTGTGCTTCATACCTTTGTGCCCTCCTTCAAATTAGCTACAAGTTCAACAAAGTTGTCATATGCAGTAGCTAAATTCTTCAAAACTTCTTCTCTTAAGTTAGCTTCATTATTAGATTGTTTCATTTTCGAAAATTCCTGGTGTGAGACCTTGTTAAAAGAAAGATTCATGCAGTTATATTTATTTAGCACATTAATAAAGCTCATAACATTTGCACTGATACTTTCCTAAATGAAAACATATATGACAACATGCAGGAATTACTGTATGTTTACCTAATAGATTATTTTTGGAGTAAAACAGTACTTCAAATCTTTCCTTAAGTAAAAACATCAAAAATTCAGTGGGTATCAAAATACAACCAATAATGTTTACCAATTTCTATTACTACGTAACACTCGGAATAAACACAACCCTACATGGACACAGACTTAGTCCAGGCTTATCCCTTCTGTGCTTCTTTAAATTACAAACCTTACTGAAGTACATAAACTTTACCTGAATATTTTTAAGGAGCCCTTCCTGTTTCTTTAGAGACTCTTGGACTTTAGTGGTAAGACCTCCATAGATTCGATCCAGTTCAGTTACAGAAATAGCTTCTTCATTTATCACACCATCTTGAGCCAGAGCAGTCAAAAATTTGCTTGTCATGTCAAAATTCACTGATTTCAGGTCATTCTCCAGCCCCTCTCTTTCCTTCTTTACTTCGTCAAGATTTGTCAATAAGGATTTTAAGACATTTACAACCTAAACAAAACAAAATTTTTTTTAGTTTAATTGCCTAAAAGCCCAGAAGCCAATTTCAAGAAGAGACGTATATACAAAGGTTCATCCAAGGTCAGGGAGAGATGACTTCTCCAAGAGCCAAGTATAAACCACACATCATGTTTATTTAGATACAGACATTGTACCTTTAGTGGATTCAGATCATAGCAGCAGGAGCAATAACTGTAACAGTAGCAAGGGCTATGATTTACTGAACATTTATTATGTGCCAGGCACTGTCCCAAACACTTAACAAATACAATTTAATGTATTCCTTACAATATCTCACAGGATATATGTATTTATTACCTCTCCACAGATGGAGAAACTGAGTGTCAGAAAAACTAAGTAACATGCCAGAGGTTACACAGCTACTAAAGGAGCAGAGATGAAATTTGAGACTTAAGTCCACCCAACTCCAAAACTGCTCTTACCACTCACTCGACACTATACTGCGTCTCTCGTGACTTTGAAGAGGGGAAGGTATGTTTCTGTCAAGTAAGTAGACACCCTATTTTGCCAACATAGCAAGACTGAGAGAGAGAGAAAGAGACAGGGGCAGGAGAGGGAGGAGAGGGAGGGAAGGAGAGGGAGAGATGAGAGAGAGATGAGAGAGAGAGAGAGAGAGACAGAGACAGAGACAGAGAGCGAGAGAGCACCCTAGACAAAGAAAGATAGACAGAGAGATACAAATAGCTATAAACTACGTGTTTATTTTATATACTGGGAGAGAAAGAGGGAGAGAGGATTCTGTATCTTTCCTGACATTATGAGTTTTGCCTCTTATTGAGTCCAGGCAGCCTCGGACTAACCCTCACATGATTCATAAACATCCCTTTCTGGTAACAGTGTTACAGTGTCCAAGTGCCCTTGAAGGCCACTTAGGAGCTGCCCCATTTCACTCACATCTCGTCACACTTTTGCTCAGATAGCCAGGGAGAACATCACCCCCTAACCCTCTATTCTGCTTGCCAGTGATGTTCACAGAAAGAAAGTGGGGAAAAACAAAGGGAAAAAGGGGTCAACCCTGAACCCCATCTACACCCATCTTTATTCTTACCAGTAGCACTTCCAACTCCAAAGGATCTCCTTACCTACTGCCTGTTTCTAAGGAGTTCTGTCTTGTCTTCAGCCCACAACCCTCCTTAGCTCCTAGACAAGAGCATCCAGAGTGACCTTCCTATGTGAAGACCAAAGACCTGAGGGAAAGTCTCAAGCTTCTTCTAAATTTTGGCCTCTGTTACCACCATATCTCCTAAGTGTCCTATCTTAAATTCAGAGTCTCTTATCACGCAGAGCAGTGAAAAGAAACGTGACTCCTAGAGGTCCAAGAAGCATCAAACCACAGACAATCTAAAAGGAATGAAGAGGAGAAAGAATCATACCTGGATGGACAAGGCAAAGTCTGTTAAAGTAAAATCTGATTTTAAGAAAGTGGATAAAGGTCCTGCTTCCAAATGACTTTCAGGCTATATTGTTAAATGAAAAAAAGGTGCAAAAGCATATACGTAGTATGTTGCATTTTGAGTAAGAGAGAAGGAAAATCAGAATATAAAGATACACACACACAATATATTATGTGCATCTATGTACATATGTATTTTTTGCAAAAAGAAAAGCACTAAGGACAAACCAGAAATTAATGAATATTGTTAGTTAAAGAGAACAGATGGGAATAAGGTAGGAAAAATAGGAATGAGATTTCTGCGCATGTACCTTTTGAATCATAAACTTTTTACATATCCAAAACACAAATTAAATCAAAACTTAAATATAGTTAACATATGAACCTAGTTGTCCAGCAAAGTGAAATACGAATACATGAAAAAAAAAAACGTGAACTGTGACAATATTCCCTTAGTGAATATAATGGGCTTAGTTATTGGGTAACCTGGGGCAGTTTACCTGGAAAGCTCTATTTTCTCATCTGAAAAACAATAATAATAATAGTACCTGTATCTCAGGACGGTTGTAAAGACTGAAATAATCCATAGAAGTGCTCTGTGTAATTTCTAACACAAGCTAAGTGTTCAGTCAACAGCACTCATTATCACTGACTGGTAGCTGGGTTTCACGATGTAACTCTATACTTTGTGTGCACTGTGGACTCATGAGACTTAGGCATCTAAGCATTCAGACAGGAACAGAGGAACAATGAGGAATAGATTAAGAACTAAAGTATCCTTTATTTAGCTGAATTGTAACTATTTCTGTAATTATGTGACACATTTTGTATTGGTGGGATGTAACAGCATATAAATTTGAAAAGGTGGTGACAGTTTTATCTGTTGGCATATTTAAAGTGATAATGGAACCTCAACCATGACTACAAACCTATGTGAAGGTTGCTTGGCTATTAAGAGTAAAAAATGTCATTTTCCCCTCTATGTAAGTTGTATCTAACAAAAGCTAGAAATTCTTTAAAAAAGGGGGGGGCGGTAAAATAAAGTGGGGGAGAAATAGGGATATGCAGAAGTGATTTTTAAAAATAGCCTAGTAAATAAAGCTGAAAGTCAGGAACACTGTTAACACTATTATCTTGAAATACACTGAATGTCTCTTACATAGCATAGGAACTAAGATCCTCTCATCAAATGGGCCAAAATTGTGTGATAATATCCCCAAGTTAGCCACTAAAGAATTTAAGACAAACACGATTCACATGGATACAGCATCCTCTTCAGTGAAAAAGTATCCATCCACAGGGCAGCACAGTAGTGTGGGAAGAGAATTTCCCCAGAATTTTAAGAACCACAAGCTCTAATATCAGCTCCATTATGAAGAAGAGCTAAACTTCCTAACTTTTATGGTGGTCAATTTTCTAATCAGAGGATAAAGAAGGACCTAACAGCTATTTAACAAATCCTAATCTATTCCAAAATGCTATAATTCTAGGTCTGTGGGAAAAATGCCATTTGAAACAACCAATTTACAAATGAACTTTCAGGCTACCACACAAAATTAGAAGAGATTTCTTGTATGAAAAACATCCTCTTTTTTTTTGTCATACACTAGTTTAACTATATTTTAAATTGTATGATACTGCCCTCATCTCAAAAAGGGTGAAATTAAACTGTTTCCACAAATGAACGACCAGGATACTAAGGAAAAAACCACTGCCTAAATATTCCTATAAACTCAAGTTTGAACCTTAACATGTTATCAAGTTTAAGTACATAAATAATTAGAATTCCTATGCACCCCCATGTTCACTGCAGCATTATTTACAATAGTCAAGATATGGAAACAACCTAAATGTCCATCAACAGATAAATGGAAAAGAAAATGTGGTATATATACATAATGGAATATTATTCAATCATGAGAAAGAAAGGAAACTTGCCATTTGTGAAAACATGGGTGGACCTTGATGGTACTATGCTAAGGGAAATAAGTCAGACAAAGAAAGACAAATACATATAATTTCATGTATACGTGGAATCTTAAAAAAAAACCAAAAACAAGATGGTAGTTACAAAGAATAGACTGGTGGTTGCCAGAGGCAAGGGAGGGGAAGCCTATGAAATGGGTGAAGAAGTAAAAAAGTACAAACTTCCAGTTATAAAAGCAGTCAGTCATGGGGATGTACTGTACAGCACCACAATTGTAATTAGTAACACTGCATGGCATATTTGAAGGTTGCTAAGGGAGTAAATCTCAAAAGTTCTCATCACAAGGGAAAAAAAAATTCTGCACAATTTATGGTGACCCATGTTGACTAGACTTACTGTGGTGATCATTTTGCAATATATATACATATCAAATCATTTCATTATGATGTACACCTAAAACTATATAATCTTGTATGTCAATTATACCTTGATTAAAAAATAAGAAAATAATAAGAGTCTTGCAGTATTTACTTCTATGTTTTATAAACAGCTCCAATTAGCTTTCAACTGCAGTTAATGATATCCCTTTATTAAGTTAGGTTGCAAGTGGTTATTATTCTATGGACAAATATTTTTTGAATGTTGAGTATCGGGTGCTGTACTAGGTTCTACAATACAACTATTAACAAAAACAGAGTCCTTTCCTTTATTTGGGGAGCAGAGGAGAGGAGGGGAGGATTAAACAAATACAAGAAAATAGAGTAATATACAGTAATACTGAGACAATGACAGAGAGGGGGAAAGGGTGGCGTGGGAGGCTGTAGTGAAAAAGAGGTAGTAACGATGCAAAGGGAAGAAAGACCCCCAACAGAAAGAAAAGCAAAAGTCCTGGGGCAGAACAAGCTGAGTAAGTTCAATGGAAGAAACAAAGCCAGTCTAACTGAAGCATGGTAAACAAAAGATAGAACAGAGGGAGAAAAGGGCAAACAAGGCATGAGATCACCTAGGCTGCCTGTACTTCATCTTTCAGACCAGGGGCCTATATAGGACCAGACAGAAATCTGGCTTCGTGAGCCATAGTCTCTGTTGAAACTACTCCACTCTGCCTTTGTAGGATGAAAGCAGCCGCAGACAAAATGTACATGAATGAGTGCGGCTGGGTCCCAACAAAAACTCATTTATGAACACAGATCTGAACTTCATATGAAGTGCACATGTCACTTTAAACATTATTAAACATTATTCTTTTGACTTTTTAAAAAAGTTATTAAAAGCATCCTTGGCTCACAGGCCACACAAAACAGAAGGCAGGCTGGATCTGGATCACAGGCCATAGTTTGCCAACCTCCGTTTCAAATGATAAAACTCTGCAGCATCTGACAGCACCAAATACACAGTGGCATGTGAGAAATGCTTTCAGTGAAATTTTCAGCTTTATTTTTCAGACCTTATCGTTTCATGTTCAGAATAGGCAGACACGAGAGTATCTCCACAGCCAAGAGAACAGCGGGGATGTGACTGCGTACCCTACACTGAGGCTAACCTAGACAGGAGCTTTCCAGCTCTGCACGTTAGGGGCCAGGTGCCACAGCTCCTGGCACACAAGAGGACTTCCACAATTGTTTGCTGAACAAAGCAATGAACAGGTGCCAGCCAGCCTCAGCACTTGTCCAGAAACTTTCTGTTACAAAAGACTAAGGGTAAAAGCTGTGTTTACAAATCATCTACTAGTCTATAAGGTGCCGTTGTGTAAACAAAGCAGCCTTGGAGAGCACAAAGCTATGGACCGTGCCACTTCACGCACTACCTCGGAGGAGATGAAGGTTTTCTCAACTGTGCCCCTCCTCACCCCAGGCACATTCAACACTGAGTGCCAGTGGGTATTATCTCAGCTAGCTTGGCCGGACAAGTGTAGACTAGATTTTCCAAATCCCAGTGAATCACAGGAGCACAATCCCAAGCCAGGGTCCTACGTTCTTTAAGAAGAATCTTTAAATACCAATTACCAACAGCCTGCAAAATTTTTCAGAGTATCTCAGTATCTAAAACCAGATGCCCAAATAGAAGAAAGATAAATAACTAGATAGTTAGTCCCTTCATAATAAAAAACAGCCCTACCTACTATGCTTGGACCTCTTAATAAAACATGTACTTTGTACCATTTTAATAATTAGCAATTCAAATAACTGAGGTTTTCTCATTAAAAAGTCTGGCTAATGTGTCATCAACTACAATGACAACTACCTGAAACAGCTTTGATAAACACAAACAGCTTTTTCGATAAAGGCACATAATAAATGAACACATAGAATACTGAAAAAATTTTGGCTGCCTCTACGCAGAAAATTTAATTTCAGTAAAATAACTTCATATTGAAGTTTTCTTCCCTTCTGTAATACCACTATGGAGTAACAAAATAGCTATTACTATAGCTGAATAAAATAACAAATCAGCACATGCTAATTCTGATTTTGCTCAGCAAAAACAACTTTCTGCTTTTCTACAGGAAGCAGAAGAATCAAAGGACAAAAGCTGTATCAGCTCTGAGTCACATACATGACACTAAAAAGAAAGAGGATACTAAACATAGATTTTTTTTTTTCTAAAATAAAAACAGGCCAGAGTTTGTTGCTGTTCTGTGGATGTGCAGAATCTTTTCTTCACAAATTACTCCTCTAACCACACTCTTTTTCCCTCCTACTTCCTCAGAGCATCTGACTGGTATTCGCTGTTTCCTCAGGTCCCCCCCCCTTTAGATTCAGGTTCTGTGCACGTTCGATTAGCCCTCTTCTCTTCACTCTGGGGGCTGGTTCCCACTGAACCTGCAGCAGCCACTCTGGACACACCCACTCACTCAGGCTTCTCAGATCCTACACGTGTTTCTGCCTGTCTACTGTTCTCACAATGTGCCGATTTCTCAAAAAGCCTCCTAAGAGAGGAGCTTCAAATGCTGGAAAAGTACTTTGTCACCTAAATGCTCACAGTCAACGTTCTATAGTTATGACACTTTTTAATTTCTACCCTGGGTTGCAGTCATCCTTGTATATGTCTAATCTTCCACATGGATCATAAATTGAGGGTAAAGGCAGTGTGTATCATGTGTGAATTTTCCGAAGTGCCTAGCACACTGCCTTACAGAGTAGAACTCCATTAAGCCTTAGCTGAATAAATACATGAACGCTTCTGTGGAAAGACAAATAAGGAACAACAATGATAACTTCTGATAACTGTGGTCTCAGAAAATTCACCTTTTTCAAGAAGTTTCAGCACTATTTCTTGCCCTCTGGCTGACTTTCCTGTGTGCTTCAGGGCCTCTGTCTTCCCCGCCTACATGGCCTCACAATGCTCAGCCACTAGATCATACATGCACGTTCTCCTCTGTCAGGACTTTGTGAGTCACATGCCCCACTACTGATTTCCTCCTTCCTGTCACCAGTAGAAACGCCATGATGGTGTTATCCATTTATTAACATGCACACCTTGACAACCTTCCCTTGACAGGTAGTCCCAGTGGCACACGGTGGAAGGCAGTATAGACTGACGTAAGGAACACTCTGTGGTCAGAAGAGTATCTGGCCAGATCCAGTCCTTCCACTTCAAGGAAGTTCCTATACTTACTTCCAAGCTTTTCCCTTTTATAAAACTTGTATTAAATACTGTGAACATATGAAGTACCTAGAATACTGTGCCCAGTTCATAGGAGGCATTCAATAAACAAATTATTGTTAAAGGAGTAATATTATTAGTATAATTACTTTTCACCCAGTGTGTATATCATCCTACTTTAAAAACAACCACCTCAATGTACATTAGCATTTTTAAAAAGATGCCAATAAAGAAGAAATTGACAATTCATCATATATAATGGCTTGAGCACAGTTTTCATAAGCAGATGACACTCCCATCAAAACGCATCTCCTCACCTCACTGCCCTGCATGGTCTTTGCTGGGTTAGCAGAAGGGATGGCAGCGTTCAGCTCGGGCTCGGGCTTACACAGAAGTGCGATGGTGTCCCGGTGAGCCTGGTAACGTTCTTTCACCTGCCCATCTGCCTGCACTGCTTTGTCCAAAACGGTTCTGAAGTTGCTTCCCTCTGGAGGGGGTGGGGAGGGAAATGTTACCAGGGCACAGCATTGATTTTAACAGCAATGTTTATGGGCTGGTTGTACTTTTATCTCTGTTCTCCAACTTTACTTGTTTCTCTCTTCTATAAGGCCCAATTCACTAGATAACAGAAACTGAGCTCCTGTCAGTCTCTGCATTTTTGTTTTTGGAAAATGACAAAAATAAATTATAAAGCAAAAGCACAGTTATACCTTAAAATACATTTGTGGTTACTGTTCACCAAATAAAAGCTATTTGTTATTAGTCTAATCTTTTCCTACAATTAATGCAGAAAGAAAACATTCACTCCAAAAATTATTACAATTTATTTTAGAAGTATTTCTCTCTCAAAAACTCAAATTCCATTATGGTAGCTCACAGCAAAAAACAATGTGACAATGAATATACATATGTTCATGTATAAGTGAAAAACTGTGCTGTACACTGGAATTTGACACAACACTGTAAAATGACTATAACTCAATAAAAAAGGTTAAAAAAAAACAAAACTCGAATTCCAAAAGATACACACACCCCAATGTTCATAGCAGCACTATTCAACAGTCAAGACATGGAAGCAATCTAAATGTCCATTGACAGATGACTGGGTAAAGAAGTCATGGTCTATATATACCATGAAATACTACTCAGCCACAAAAAAGAATAAAACAATGCCATTTGCAACAACATGGATGGACCCGAAGACTGTCATACTAAGTGAAGCCAGAAAGAGAAAGGAAAATACCACACGATATCATTTATATGTGGAATCTAAAAAAATGACACAAATGAAAATTACAAAACAGAAACAGACTCACAGACATAGAAAAACAAACTTATGGTTACCAGAGGGGAAAGAAGGTGAGGTCGGAGTAAGTTTGGAGTTTGGGATTTGCAACTACTATACATAAAACAGATAAACAACAAGGTCCTACTGTACAGCACAGGGAACTGTTTTCAATACCTTGTAATGGCCTATAATGAAAAACAGTATGAAAAGGAATATATGTATGTATAAATGAATCACTATGGTGTACACCAGAAATTAACACAACATTGTACATTGACTATACTTCAACAAAAAAAAAACATTCAGGAGTAGAGAAAAAAAAGGTATTCCTCTTTCAGGATCACTCCTTCAATTTGACTTAAAAGAAAGTAGATATATTTTTAGAAAAATCTCAATAGTATTAATTACTTCTACAGAGAAATAAAACAAATTTCTAGTTACCAGGAAGAACATCATTTACTTCAACAAGCACAAAATCTTAACAACCAAAGTCTTAAAAATAATAATTTGGCTTCAGGTTGACTGTTAAAACTCATCTTTTACCACTAAGAGTCACGACTAAGTGAAATGAAATTATAAAACCATACATAAAACACAATCTCATTTATGTTTTTAAAATATGCATCGAGCTTGGAATAGGAAATGAGAGTTACAGGACCATTTTAACTTTTACTTTATACCCTTCTTAAGAATGTGAACTTCTCATAATGAACATGGATTACCTTTGTTATTTATCTTACACTGAACTGAATAAACAAACCTGGATTTTCATAATACCAGTCACAGTAAAAACAGGTTTACAATGGAGCTTAATTAAATCAAGCAAAATTGTGGCTAGAAATTGAGAACTTAAGTGAAAGTCATTTATGCACATTTTTACCTGCTCTTAAAGGCTTATAGAGGTCATTGGATGGTGTTCTCTGCCAGCGTTCCTTGAATTTTGCTCTTAAATCATTGTCAGTTGCTTCTTCTTCATCCAACAATCTTAATGACTTTTTAAAAGGAGGCAAAGCAACAATGAGATATCATTTCTGGTGTAAAAAATTTACAAGTTTTTAAATGTTCATGCTCCATATAGGTAAGAAGTACTGAGATGAGACTACTCCTACATTACTGGATAGAATATAAATTAGTACAATAATTTTTGTGGCAGAAACCCAAGTTATAATATATTTAACAAAAAAATCCTATAAAACTTAAGGCTAGGTTAGCCATTACCTTACTCAGTAAAATTCAGAAAGATAACTGAGAGTTACGTGCATCAAAATACCAAGACTACTTTAAACAAAGTTTTTTTTAGGATTAAAACTAATAAGAAAGCCTTTAGACCTTAGAAGCCATAAACAAAATAAAGAGAAACCTGATTAATTTATGAAAATAAAAGATTCAGATTTCAATCCCAATACAAAAAACTGAAAGTTAACATATAAAAAATGCCTTTTTAATCCACAGCTGAGAAGACAGGATAGCAGAGGGCCAGAAACAAGAAGTGCTAACCGTCCAATGGACACGAGTGCCAGAGTCAATGGTGTCTGCTAACTCCTGAGCTGAGAGCAGAGCTCTGCAAACCTCTGCCAAACACTAGTGTAAATATTTTAGGCTTTGTGGACCAGTCTCTGTCACATATTCTTCCTTTTCTTTTTTGACAACCCTCTAAAAGTGGTGAAAAATCATCCCACGCTTAACTAGTAAACCATACAAAAACAGGCCACAAATTGGAGGCCCACTGTCCATAGTCCACCTACTGCATATTCTCTACTGGCTGAGAGTGTGAATGCAACAGAACATGAACAGGGAGACAAGAAACATAGGTGGGGCTAACATGAGTAGGAGGTCAGATCAAAGGCACTATCTTCCCTCAAACTGGGTCATTTCCAAACAGATGACACTCAGGGGAAGCATTTTTAAAAAAGAAAACTGCCCGACAGAAGGGAACTCAGCTGTCTAAACCTTGGCTCTAAATAGAAAAGAAAAGAAGTATCACCTTAAGATTCCTAACCAAAGGCCTGAACTTAGGACTAGAAATCATACTACACTTTATGCGACACAAAGTCCTAAGACAAACTTCTAATTAAAAGATTAACCACACCAAAACAAAAAAACCTCCTAAGCTTAGACTGCCCACAAATGAAGTTCAGGAAATATGAATTCATTAATTGAAAAAAATCATCGAACATTAAATGCAATGTAGTATTTTGGACTGGATCTTGAAACAGAAGGACAAGATGGAATAACTGATAAAATCTGAGTGATAATATTGTACCAATGTTGAATGTCTTAGTTTTAACAAATGTACCATGGCTATGTAAGAGTCTAACTTTTAGGGCAGCTGGGTAAACTATCTGTACTAAATTTGCTACTTTTCTATAAATCCGAAATTATCCCGAATTAAAAGTTTTAAAATCCAAGAACAAATGCACAAAAAAATACTGAAATAAGAGGAAATAAACCACTATGAGCAAAAGTCAGCAAAAACACACAAACAATGAGATAATTAGCTGTAGGTTTTTCATAGACCACCTGTCTCAGATTGAGGAAGTTCCTTTCTATTTCTAGTTTATTAAGTCTTTTTATCATAAAAGAATGTTGAATTTCGTCAAAAATTTTTTCTGTATCTCAAGATGATCATACGGTTTTTTCCTTCATTCTACTAATATAGAGTATTACATTAATTGATTCTTTGACATCAACCACCCTTACATTCCGAGGACAGTGAAACAGTGGAAGCTTCCCCTCCAAAGGTCATGATCAGGACAAAGGCTGTCAGCTTTCACCACTTCTATCCAGCATTGTACTGTCTAACATAATTAGGCAAGAGAAAGAAATAAAAGGCATCCAAAAGTGGAAAGGAAGAAGTAAAACTTATCTCTACTTGCAGATGATACAATTTTGTATACAGAAGATTCTCAGCAATCCACAAAAAAACTATCAGAGATAATAAATGAATTTAGTCAAGTTACAGAATACAAAATCAGTTATATTTCTATACTCTAACCATGAGCAATCCAAAAAGGAAAATTAAGATGACAATTCCACTGCAATACCATCAAGAAGAGTAAAATTTTTAGGAATAAATTTAACCAAGGAGGTACAAGACTTGTACAGTGAAAACTACAAAACAGAGTTGAAAGAAATTAAAGAACACTAAAATAAATGGAAAGACATCCTCTGTCCATGGACTGGGAGCGTAATTGGAAGATCAGCAATACTCCCCAAACTGATTTAAAGTGAATGCACTGAATATGCAATCCCTATCAAACTCCTAATTTTAGGATTTTCTATATATAAGGTCAAATAAAAAACCCAATAGGAGGAAGCCTCCAGGCCTTGTCCCTGCTAGACATCAAGCGGTCAAAGAGCTTTCACTTGTAAATCAAATCTCTTAAAACATACCTCATCTAGGATTTCTCTATTTCTTTGTAGAAGTTCGGGTAGTTCTTTGATCAACTGATCAACAGTCTGGATGCCTCCCTGCTCAATCACAGATGTGGACTTAGTCAATATAGACTGAGGTACGGTATCTCCAGATATATCTTCAATTGCTGCTGGAAGATTAAGGGAAGCTAACACCCTGAAAAAAATGAGATACTATGTCACCTAGAGGTCTAAGCCACCTTTAAAACACTAATCTCCTATATCCAAATTAACAGCAACAGTTATTTAGCACCCCAGAAAGGTGGATAAGCCCTGTCCATGGAAACATAAAGCAAAGATAAAGGAAAAACAAAAAATCAGTAAGTGATAAAATGAAAAAAAAATCATTAAAGAATTAAGTTCACAGTTCAGAATTAAAAGCCAAAAAGTAATAAATATACATTTAAATACACTAGGTAACTTTGGCTCACAAGTCAAACTTAACTTCTGTCAGTCTGAGTAATTAAAATTCTGAGTAATCAAAAATTCTATCTAAAAATGCAATCTTTTACCACACTCTTGATTGTTATACTGTCACTGGCAAATCAGAAAAATATGCAAAACAGTTATAATTTCACATCATCTAGGCAAAATGTTGAGAACATATTTGATCTAGGTTATTAATTACAGGCGCTTCTGTTTTGTTCTGTGGCACAGTAACAATTCTTCTGCTATTTCACTTACATTATGGAGGGAATATCAGAGTAAACTTATGTTGGTTTCTTGCTTGAAAAAGAGAAATGAAGTTAAAATCTATGCATTCATTAAAATTAAAAACACGAAAAAGCAAATCAGACTAGGAAAAAATATTCTCAATAACACAAGTGACAAACGACTTGCCCCTAAAATATGTAAAGAATCCTTTAAAGATTTACTAAAAAAACCTCAATTTTCAAAAATGAGCAAAAGATTTCAACAGATGCTTCACAGTAGATATATAAATGGCTAATAAGCATTGCTCAACATCCTTAGTGATTAGGGGAATGCAAATTAAACCACTGTGAGATACTGCTACATACACACAAAAATGGCTAAAATTAAAGAGACAAAAAACATTAAGTCCTGATAAGGATGCAGAACAACTGCATTTCTCAGTGCAGGTGGGAATATAAACTGAAAAAATGACTTTGGAAAATAATCTGGCCATTTCATATGAAGTTAAACATACACTAACAATACAACTCGGCAATTCTAATCCTAGGTCTTTACCCAAGAGAAATAAAATATGTCCACACGAAGATTTTTTTCTTTCTTTTTTTTTTTTGTTAGGGGGCGGGGATTAGGTTTGTTTGTTTTTAATGGAGGTGCTGGGGATTGAACCCAGGACCTTGTGAATGCTAAGCACGTGCTCTACCACTGAGCTATAACCTCCCCTTACACACAAAGATTTGTATATCAATGTTCACAGCAACTGAAATGCCCATCAATAGGTGAAAAAACTAACAAGGTATTTGATCATAAAAAGGAATACTGCTCAGTAATAAAAATGATCAAACTGAGGGGGGAGTGGCCAAGACGGCAGAGTAGAAAGATGCTCTTAGCTCACCCTCTCCCATGAATATACCAAGACAGACATCCACAGACCCACCCTTTCACTCAGAACACCTGCTGAACTTTGACAAAAATGATTCACAAAACACAGATGATGCTAAGTGAAAGAAGCCTAATATATTTTCAATATATACTGCACATGCTGTACATACTGTAAGTACTGCATACTATACATGCTACAGCAATAGTATATATGGTATACAATTTCCTGTATATAAAATATATAATGTATTATATACAGTATATAGTGTATTATATACCATATATAGTATACTATACATGGTATACAATGTCCTGTATATAAAATATGTAATGTATTATACCATTTATAGTGTACTATATACTGTAATGTACATACTGCACATGTTATAATGATTATATCTGTATTAAACTGTATAAAAGATAAAACTAACCTATGATGACAGGGAGCAGATCAATAGCAGCTGGGGACAGAGGAGGAGGAACTGAAGGGAAAGACATGAGTGAATTTTTTAGGGTGACGGAAATGTTCTCTATCTTGATCATAGTGGCGGTAGTTACATGGGTATACGTATTTATCAAAAAGAATCAAACTATACACTTAAAATGAGTGCATTTTACTGTGTGAAAACTATACTTAAAATATTTTTTAAAACAATGATTTTCTGTCTTCAATCCACCGAAAACAGAAACTGGTTCAGAATACAAACTATGTATCTTAACTTTAAAAGTGCATTTCTACTTCTAATTTCCCTCTAAATATTCCCTAACATACAAATTAGTGGTCAAGTATTTTCACTTTGTTTCAGTAGTTAAATTTCTTCCAACTATAATATATTTGCTAGGGCTCAGTAAATAAAGTATCCCTAAGAAATGTGTGTGTGTTTATATTTGCTATTTCAAATATCCTTTATGCTCAACTCTGAGCTCAGAAAACTAAAATTTTCATAAACAATCAGAAAACATTAGAATCTTCAAGATAAATTTATGAAAGTCAAGGTCTACCTACCCATTTGCCAAAGTGGTGGCTTCTCTCATTTGAGCAATTGATCTGTTAACTAAATCAGCTTTCCTCTGATTATAAGCTGCCAAAGACTGCTGCACTGACACAGGAACCATCTTCTCAAACAGATCTAAAATTAGGAATAAAAATGTCAACAAAATTTGAAGACAAAAACTCAAACCGTGAAGTGACTATTCCTATTTCCTTTCCAATATTCGTATTAAAAATCTACAAATATTTAAAGATCAAAACCAAATCACTACTGAAAGTACAAAGATAAGTTTTTAGATCACTATATTCACGGACAATGAAAATGAAAGCTTTTGCTCTGAACTTAGTTTTCTTAGTTTTTAAAGATGTGTCTGTCATTAAGTTTAAGGGATCTTTGGTGAAGAAAATCTACAGAAAACAACTGAGAAAACAATGTTCATTTGTTGATGGAACTGACTGACTGAGCCACAGAGCTATGATTTCCAGATCTACCACTTTCTGGCTCTGCAACCTTGGGCAAATTACTTAACCACTCTGCATCAGTCAAATGGGGGTAATAACAGTACCTACCTCATGGAGTCATTGTGAGAAATAAATGAGCTAACCTTTGTACAGGGCTTAAAAGAGTCTCTGGCACACGGTAAACACTTTGCGTTTGTTAAACAGAAGTAAGTACAGTTATCCCTTGGTATTCCACAGGGGGTTGGTTCCAGGACTCCCAGCGGATACCAAAATCCACAGATGCTCCAGTCCCTTATATAAAATGGCACAGTATTTGCACATAACACACCCATGTCCTCCCATATACTTTAAATCATCTCTAGCTTACTTACAATACCTAATACAATGTAAATGCTTTGTACACTGTTGCCAGAGCATGGCAAATTCAAGTTTTGCTTTTTGGAACTTTCTGGAAATTTCTTTTTGGCCAGTATTTTCCATCAGCAGTTGCTTAAATTCACGGCTGTGGAACCGCAACTGTAAAATAATCACCCACTAACTTAGAATATTATCCTTGGGATCTCAGCTAGAGGCTACCATGTGCTGCATTTACTTGCAACATTCAAGGATATTACAACATTTATTTATCTGATATAACAATGACTCCAGAGGTTTGTATGTGTAAAGTCATTTTATGTATATTTATAATGGCAGAATCTTAAATAACAAGTGTTAACAAAATGACAAGTGCGTGTTTAAGTCTTTATTGTTACTCAGTTTCAAGTTTTTGACTTTGTTGTATACTTTATGCTTTACTATTTACTTTTCCATCATAAAATTTCACTATAATTTTTATTCTCATATTCATTTTAAACATGAATGCAAATTATATTCAAAGCATAAAATACTAATTATGTGATTTTAGTTACAAAAATGAATAAATTGGAGGAAAAAAAATAAAGTTAAAGTGCATCTGTATACTTGACATACCTGTGAATTTCTGGCTGATGGGTACATTGACTGGGGTAGATTTCACAAGAGTGGCTTTGCCAATAGGGTCTAGATCTTTAAGGTCTGGAACTCGATCATGATAAATGAAGTCATTATCCTTCTTTGCTGCAGTAAGGGCACGGTTGATTTTGTCAGAAAAATCCTTCACATTGACATATTCATCATAGCGAGATGCCACGGTTTTAATCAATTCTGCTGCATGCTAATAAGAAAATGTTAAAAAAAAAATTTTTTGTTTCTTTTTTTCAACCAAGCACCCAACCTTTGGTTTTCTAAAAAATCTTTGAGGACTGGCATTACCAGCAATGTCATCAAAAGAATAACCTAGAAATTCTCCCATAACAAACCAAAATATCAAAAAATGAAGAATAACACATAACAGACATCCCTTTAAACATATAAGTGAGTTATCAAGAAAGTAAAAGAAATCAAACCTACAAACTGACACTAAGGAAAGCTGGCTTTGGCTGTTGGGTATTTCTGTACCCAAAGGACTTGCAATTAAAATGCCTTTTAAAAAAGGCCCTCAGGGAATGTAATACAAATACAAGGGTCTTGAAACTACGTAAGACAATAAACTAAGAAACATCCCCTTCACCACTGATCCCCACTTAAAGGCAAGAACCTCAAAGGGCTACACTCACGGTGAAAAGAATGGATCAGAAAAATAAACTGCGCAGCAACACAGCAAATCAACAAGGAAGCACGTTGTCAGCTTCAATAGGAATTTTTTCTTGAAAGGCTGCCCTTGTAACACATAAAATGAACATATGCCTCGTAAATTTAGGGCTCAAATTACTTACGTGGTGTTGGGAATAGTGACATCAGATAAAATGGACACTAAAGCCTAAAGTATTATTAGGGATAAATTCAGTATATAATGTTTAATATTTGCCAATTTGCCAGAAAGGTATAAAACTTCTTAAATTTTGTATTTAAAAACCTTTATCTATATAAATAATTATAATGAGAAATTGATAACATCTATGCATCATTAGAGTGGAAGATTTCAACACTCCTGTCTCATGAATGAAAGGACCAAGCAAACAAAAAATTTGTTAAGCTCAGAGAAGATTTGAACAACACAATAAAAAAGTCTGATTTACCAGACATGGGGAACCTGGGACTCCAAAGAGAATATACAATATTCTCAGACATATAAAGAACATCCATATAAAGTGATCATATGAGGAGATTAAGCAAGTTTAAGACACCAAAATTATAAGATTATAAGAATAGTTAAAAATTAGAAAACCTACTTATGTAATTCTCCAAGTAATAAATTTCAGTTAAAAAAAATCAAATTACCTCCATAGATGTTGAAAAATCATTTGATAAAATATTCACTCTTGACATTTTTTAAAATCTTAGTAAAATAAAAATAGTTATCTAGTTTTTTAACATGATAAAATCTTAACCCCTAAAGCTGATATCATGCTTAGCAGAAAACTGAAAGAAACAATCCTAGAGTCAAAATAAAATAAAGATCACCAGTATCATTATGAACATAGAACATGGTAAAAATAACCAGAGAAAAGAATGAAATCAGAGGTATAAAATTTAGAAAAGGAAAAATGTATCATATACAGCTCATACATTTGTGTGCCAGCAAAACCTAAGAGAATCAACTATTCTAAATGAGAGGTAGCTTACATACAAAATCAACAGGGCAAATACAGATAAACAATCACCAATTTGAAGAGATAACAGAAGAAAAAAATCCACTGTTACTAGCAACAGGAAGACAAAATAGTCAGGAGTAAGTTTTAAAAGATATACACAAGATTAATATGAAACAGAAACAAGGATAACCAAAACAAACAAAACAAATGCTACATCTGTAACGTAAACTAGGAGGTATAAAAATGCACAAATTTAAATCACTTTTTAAATTTGTAAATCAAATATGATTTGTAAATGTGGTCAAACACTCCCCTAAATACGAAAATTGGTATTAGGGCCTTAAAAGACACTGAATACAGCAGGAGAAAGGGGGATTGCCAAGAGCCCTATCTGAGGAGAAAACACTTAGGCAAATCTGAAAACAAGGAAATGCAGTGAGGTGACAGCTGCCAGCTGGTGGCATGGGTAAAGCCAAATGTCCCACGTGGAGTCACCCAGGGGCCACAGGAGAGGCCTCGTCCCAAGGAGCTACTGAGCCCAGAGGCAGACAATTAAAAGAGCAGGGATGCCGAGGAAAGCAGAAAAGAGCAGGACTGAAAAGTGGGGAGGAGGAGGAAAGGAGATGAGCACTCAGAAAACAACAAAAAGTAGACGCATTACCTGGAAATGCAAAGGCTGTAAGGAACTCAGGGAAATACAGGCACAAAAGGGAATCCTCTAAACCAGGCCTTGAGAACCAGAGAGGAGAAGCTGAGGCAGGGCTCTACATAAGGAGGCTTGGCAAGCTACCCAGGCATTCTCCCCATACGCACCTCTGGCTATTCCTCGACTGAATTCCAGCTCATTTAAACATAAGTAACCAAAAAGGCATCGCATCTGCCTCAACACAAAGAAACCATAAGGAAAGGATGAATGAAAATGAGTTTAACTTCCCCATAGAAAATGAAAATTCACCAAAGAACTGCTGCCCAAAGCAAAGAATACAGCATACTAAAAAAACGAAAATAAACTAAAAAACTTAAGGATGCAATCACAGTACCAAAGAACACAAAATATGAACAGAGGACCAGATGGCCCAGACAACAGTGGGTGACAGTCGATAGCAAGAGAATGTGAAACAGGACCTGCAGAACTCAGGAAAGAAACTGAAGAAAAATACGAAATCATTTAAGAAAAGAAAGACTGAAATATTTACACAAGAAACATAAAAGGGATAATAGACATCACAGAAATCATTGTAAGAAACACACAAAACAAGAAAAAGTGAGAACAATTCAACATGGCAGCTGGGGACCAGATGCCATTGCAAATTAAAAATTTATGAGATAAATCAACCAAATGCTATGTGGGGTCCTTGTATGAATCCCGATTTGAACAAACCAACTATAAAAAGACATTTTAGAAAAAAATCAGAGAAAACTAAATTAGGTTTGGGTAACATTAGGTTAATAGTATTATTAGTTCTTATTATTTAGCATTAATTGTGCTAGATAGGATGACATTGTGATTTTACTTTTTTTAATAAGCCTTATCTATTATACTGAAGTAGTTAAGGATGAAATGATACGTGAGATAGTTGTAAAATACTTCAAAAAAAATGAGGAGGAGGGCAAACAGACGAAACACAAAGCAAAATATTGATAATCATTGAAGCTGGGTAATGGATATTTGATGATTCATACTTTTGTATATATCTTAAATTTTCCATAATAAATACTTAAATATAATTCATATAGAAGCATAAACAAGAACAATAAGGGAAATTCAAGAAACGAGAGATGATCAATACCAATCAGGCATTAAAACAAGTATCAATGACTCAAATGGTACAGAACTGGAACTTGAACACATAAACAGCACAATGAAACAGAATTAAAAGTTCAGAAACAGACTGAAACATATAATTTAATATGTGATAAAAGTCAAAATCTCAAATCAGTGGGGTAAAGAAAGTCATTGTAATAAATGGTTTGGGGACAACTGGGTACCTATTTGAAAAAATAAAAACTGGATACACCCTTCACATCATCTATCAGGATAAACTCCAAGTGAATCAAAGATCCAAGTATAATATATAATAAATTATAGATATACTTACACTTTGATACCAGCAATCCTGTTTCTAGGAATTTAAGGTATACCTGCTGCTATGGACTGAATCATGTCCCTTCAAAATTCGTATGCTGATGCTCTAACCCCCAAAGTGATGGTTTTGGAGATGGGGCCTTTGGGAGATTATGTTTAGATGAAGTCATGAGGGTGGGGATCTCCTGGTGGTATTAGTGCCTGAGTAAGAAGAGCCACCAGAGAGCTTGTGGGAGCTCCCTACCATGTAAGGACACATCAAGAAGCCAGCCAGCAGTCTGCAAGCTGACCACGCTGACACCCTTGTCTCAGAATTCAGCCTCCAGAACTATGAGAAAATCTATTTCTGTTGTTTAAACCACCTAGTCTATGGTATTTTGCTATGGAAGACTGAGCTCAGACATCTGCTGAAATACGAAGTGCCATGTGCACATAATTATTCACTGCAGTATGTTTTGTAATAGAATCTTGGAAACACACACGTATCCAGCAATAGGGCACAGCAATAAAGTGTGGTTTGACAATCAAGTACAATGCAGCTCTGAAGAAAAATGAGGACGGTCTCTGTATTGCTGTATTAAAATGGAGAGATCTTCAGAATATGTTGTTATGTGAGAAAAATAAGATGTACAACACTGTATATAGCATACAACCTCTTATGTAAGGATGGGAGTTAAGAATGTGCATTAAGTGTGCATGCATGTGTGGATGTATTTGCTTGCATATCAAAGAGGGAAAAAAAACTGAAAGGATTAAATGAGAAACAAATAGAAATTAACTATGGGGCAGTGGGAAAAAAGATGGAGGAACAGGATATAAGGGGAAAGGTAGGGAGATGTGTTGAAGTGTATACCTTTACATTTTCCCCAATTTTTATATTAATAATGTTCATGTCCACAGAAAAATTAAAAGAACAGAACAATGAGTGACAACAGACCCTTTACTAAGTTTAACAACCGTTAGCAATTTTGCCATATTTGCTTTATCTCTCTTTCCCATATATACACAGATTCCTTTTTCTTTTCTTTTCTTTTTTTTTTGCAGAACCATTTGAAACTAAAGTTCAGAATTCATGACCTTTCATCCTCAAATACCTCAGTACATATCTCCTAATAAGGGCAATCTCCTTAATACCTACAAGCTACTATCATAACAAAGAAAAAACAATACCTTCACAAAATCAGTTTTACCACCTTATTAGGTCCAACATTCATAAATAAATAAATCTCCAGTGTGTACTCATTCTATATGAGTCATATTTTTACATCTTTATATACTCGCTCCTCGGGATCTGCAAGGGATTGGTTCCAGGACCCTCCACAGACACCAACATCCGAAGATGATCGAGTCCCAGAATTGGCCCTCCCTACCCACAGACTCCGCATCTGTTGATTAACATAGTATCTGACCAGCATTTGGATGGATCCACAAATTTGGAATCTGCAGATACGGTAGGCCGAATATTTATTCATTGAACGTGGACAGTGCAAACCCATGCTGTTCAAGACTCAACTATATTTTTTACATCTTTTTGAAAGCTTTACAGACTCCACCAAGATGATCAAGTGAACCCACCTTCTGAAGCCAAATAAACTGCACTGTCCAAGAAGTGCATTTCATGAGCTGTACAAGTCCGGGTACAATTCTTCTTGACCCCAGAAGTGAATCCCATGTAGCAATTTTCCCTTTGCTGTTTCACCTATTGCTGTGATTTTCCTGACTCTTGTGATTTTGTTTCTGGTTTGGTCATAACCAGTAAGTTGCTGACAGCAAAGACTGCAAAGATGATTGATGTAACCATCTAATGATCTCTATCAGGGTCATGGGTATGCTAAGTGAGAGACTACAGAGAATATGCTGGTCACCTTTTTTGTCTGTTTTGTTCTTCTGCTTGTTTCTTAGCTCAAATCAGGCAAATTAAAAAAAAAATGCCTAATGGAAACGGGAACAGCCCTTTGAGTGAGATAAGAATTGCAAGTATTTGTGCTCTGCATTAACTTCTGACCTATGACTAAACCTGTAAAACTCTTTATGAATCTAAAAACTGAAAAAAAGTCTTTATCTCTTGTTGTGAGTCTGAAAGTTTCCTTTTTCCTAAGGGGTTTTAAAAACTAGATTAAAATTTCTAAAGCTCTTCAATGATGAGTTTACAGAAACTAAATAAAGGCTTATTTATATAAAAGTCCCAGAATTTCCTAAAAATAAGGAAGCTAAACATCTGTAAAACAAGGATTAAGGACTAAGTCGCTATCCACTGCAGTTGCTGACAGAGCACCTTGAGAGAGAGGAATTCAGGATGCAAAACAGGATGAGGCACCCTGTGCTTTGGAAAAACGGCCCCTTAGACAGATGTCATTCTCAGGAAGAATTCTAATGAACCCAGAGTCCTACATCTTTTACATAGAAAAGCACTAAAATCATTAACCTGAGATGTCTGTTCTTTGTGACTAGCAGTAATCTTTTACTGAGACGTATTTCATAGCGAGAAATCACATCTAAGCTGGTTTCTCCCCTACTCAGAGCAGTTCCCTCAGAGGTACTAGGAGGCTGTCGCCCATGAGACTTTACTATTACCTCAGTAAAGTCCCTAAATAAAACTCAACTCCCTCCTTTTATGTTGTGTGTTTTCTTTCCATTGATATTTCTAATACTTTAAATATGCTACCCTGAAAAAAAATCTTTCCTCTAGAAACCACTTTCTCTGAAGCATTTTCATATAAAAATCTAAGTGACTGCAATCAAAGTGAATCTCTGCACAAATGAAATATGTTCGGTAACCTGAGTGTGCCTTTCTCTGACTTTGTCAATGTGGAGTATAATATAAACCTACATGTTATTCTTTATAAAACTTGAGTTTCTTGTCTCATGAAAAGACTAATTAACCTGAACTTCTTAAATATAATACTTGCATAGTATCTTCTAATATCCAGTCCATATTTAAATTTCCTTAACAGTCCTCTTCCCACCCTCTGCCTACCAATCCTCAAAATACAAGCAACTCATATAAATAGCCCTTACCCCTCCTGCGAAGTTACCCTAAATGTCACAGCAAGTTTCTCACAAACCCAGTGCTGATACAATTGCACAGAAGGTATTCTGCTAACGATAAGATCTGTGTGTACGTGTGTGTGTGTGTGTGTGTGTGTGTGTGTGTGTATAATCACTGTCCTCCTCAGGCTGTGGAATCATATGACCCAATTTAGACCACAGCTAGGCCACAAGTTAAGCACTGCACATCTGTTCTGGAGCATGATAATTAATTTAGAATACTTAAAATTAAAATAAACATGGACAAATAAATGAGAACTAAATGCAAATTATGCAAAAATGTTTACATAAAATATGAGACATCAAAAAGCACACAGTAGGTATAGCCTAAAAATAAAAACAACCACTTGCCTCTGTTGACAGGGGCAATGAGTGGGAAAAGTTTTTATGAGCAAACATGGGAATCTTACTAAAGAAAAAAAAAATTGGAAATCCAAGTTACTTAAATATTTATTTCCAAGAAACTCACCTGTAACCTTGCAATCTCTTCTCCAAATTTCTTCTGCTGTTTCGCCAGGATGGACTGGTGGTACTCAGCGTTGGCTTGCATAATACAGTGCTTTGCAGCCAAGACAGGGAACACCTCCTGGAAATAAAAATACTGACCAGGGGAGAGTCCAACCACACAAATCACCACAGACAACATGGGATGCAGGAAGAAAAAGGAAAAGGAGACAGAAATTAGAATCACCCCATTAATGGTTTAGAGATTGGTTAGTCATTAGGTGTAAACAGAGAAGACCACATGATTTTGCATGGACTGGATTCAATGAATTCAGCTTTTTTTTTTCCTTCCAATTAGAATTAAGGGTTGGGTTTTTTTTTTTGAACTATTAAGTGAAGCCAATTTAAGTATTTACCATTCTCTTTAATTGAGCCATGAAGTCAACATTTTGTTTACAAAGAAAGGAAAGCATGCATTAGAAAGAGAAGTAGAATGGACATTCACAGAGGTAGACCAAGCACAGAGCTTTAGAAGCTTTCTTATGAGCCCTTACCCGGCCCTTAGAGTTAACTAAACCACCATTACTCACATACACTAATGAAATTGCTCTATAGCTGACTGTTTCATCATGTTTAAAAGACAAAAGACAATAAAGTAAGTTCCCACTTAAATTCATATCCTAAGAAACTTTTAATAAAGGTAATTTTTAGCCATAGAAAATTTAGTATCATATAAAGACTAACATTTCAGTATCATATACTCAAAAACATAGAGCAAACAGACAAATGTACTAAGTTAATGACTAATATGATAGTGTTATTTTACCCTAGTTTGTTCTGAAAAAAATTCCAGTCAAAATTAATTTTAGAAGATCCAAAAACATGAACCAAAAAAGCAGTTACATTGGTAGAGGCTCTTCCAAAATGTCAAATCCTAGGGTGTAACCTCATTGTTTTTAGGAAGTACATGCCATATAATATCCAAGAAATATACTAGACAATTCCTATCTAGACAAAAAAATAAGAGAATCAAAAACTGAATTACTACCTGTATGCTTTCCTGTCTCCCAGTGAATAATTTCCTAGCTTCCTGGGTCACTACTTGCAGATATTCCAGTTTTATAACTAGAATATGAAAATACCTTATGAGCTTTATTAGTGAAAGGCAAAAATAAAAGACATCTAAATCTCAAACTGCACTCTCATGCCAGTTCTCAAGGCAAGTCTGGAACAACTTGGTACTTAAAACAGGAGATTTTCGAGGAATACCAGGAATGGTGCAGAGGTAGCTTCCAAGTCTTTGTAGGTGGCATTCTTCTCTCCGGGACAGGACTGAACTAATGGCCCAACAGGATGTAACGGTACACTGTGCAGCTGAACATGATGTCTTTCAGATGAAAAAAAAGGTGAGAGGAGATCCCAAGTCTCTTCTGAAGAGCAACACTATTATCACCCAAGACTCCTGGGCAAATTTCTACTGATCTCTCGGTGAATATTAAATCTCCAGGAATCTTCAAATTCCTTATCGTTCACATTCTGACTAATGTGTTGATGTACTTACATGCTTTTTTTACTTCACCACAAAATTTTCTGCAATTTTATAATTTATAAAGATTCCTGAACAACTTATAAAGATCATGTAACAAATAGCATTGGCTATCATACAGACGAAATTAATTCCTTAAACATTTCTGAAAGAGAGCCATTGAATCACACTACACTTCAATCTGTAAATTTCCATTTTTAACCATTCTGAATTTATTTCTCAGTCTAATCATCTGCTTTACCATTTACAAATGATCATCACTGACTAGTCTTTTCAAATGCCACGTCAGAAAGGTTTACATTAAAACAATGAATACTTCCTGTGTTACGTGGTTTTAGATGGTTGTTTTCCTTAGCTGTCCAACAGCAGCCCAATTTTCTATCCCTGTTGGCAAAACTTAATTATAATCAAAGTACTGGATGAATTTGTTAAGTTCTCTTTTCCTTTTGTCTTTATGTCTGTTTTTGCGCTTTAAGACTCATCTTTAAGAAAACAGGACAATAATTAAAAGGGTGAATAATCAACATGCTCAAGTATTCATGCTGTACCAAATCATCAAAGATTCAGATCATACAATGCCCTGATTTGATAAAGTTATTGGAGACAGGTGTTCAAAATCTTCCAGGAAGCGTTTTAGCTTGGAAAAACAAGTTTAGTAAAGAGTAGAGGCAAAGGCATCCCCTAAATATAAAAGGACTTGTCATGCATCTTAAAACAAAAACTATTTCTACAAATATATTCTCCAAATGCTTTTCCTTAAATTTCAAATATTCTTTATAAAACATAATTTTCAACTTGCTTCTTATACACAAAAATGTCCAAATATTTCCACATGCAAAACAACCAAGTGTTTACAAAAACAATAACTGACCTTGGGGAGAGTATCTTTGTACTGACACTGTTTAAAAGCATCACCAAAATAATCTGCAGCCTGATTAGCCAATTTAGCTATGATGGCATCTTTCATCTTATCTGGAATAAAATATTAAATTGACTGTTATAATGAAAATAAATATACAATAATCTGATGTACCATGATAACTCAGTACAGACATTGAGCTCATAAGTAAGTACATTTGCCTTTTTTTTTTAAAAAAAAAAAAAATCCTTATTGATGAAATCAACTCTTCCGCACACAACTTAATTACTCCATAGGCAGATAAAAAGAGTCAGAATATAGATTAGTGGTTGCCAGGGGCTGGGGGAAAGGGGGAATGGAGAGTGACTGACAGTGGGTATGGGGTTTCTTTCTGGGGGGATGATAACGTTCTAAAATAAGATAGTGGTGATGGTTGCAAAACTCTGAATATACCAAAAACCAGTGAATTGTATACCTTAAAAGGGTAAATGCTTTTGTATATGAATTCTATCTTAATAGAAGCTATTATTTTAAAAGAAAAAATTTTCCAGTCCACTAAGTTTCCACCTGATGACTGCTCCCTTATTTTCAATTTCTTGTACTTACATATTCAGTCCTTATTCTAATCTCTCACACTAACTTACATGCCTTATAAGAACTGTTCTTATTCCCTCATTCACAAGGCCAGAGGTTCCGCCTGGATGCCTCCTTATCAATTAAGTCTGGTTTAAACAAGACCTCCTCAAAGAATCTCTTCTTGACTAATGGATCTAAGATTAGCATGACTCCCCTCCATCCTTACCCCACAGCCAGACCACCAGTCACTGCCACATCTTTTTTTCTTTATAGCAATTATTTCTCTCTAAAATTACCTTGGCTACTGAATTGCTTGTTTTATCACCTCCTCCACACTAAAATGTAGGCTTCCTGAAAATAGAAATCTCATTTGTCTAACTGTATCTAGCGCCTAGAACAGTGAGTGGCAGTTGGTACTCAACACATATGTGCTGAATGAATGAATTTCTGACATATTACAAACCTATATAAATACTACTCCAGAATTCAGTGTTTTAAGACAATACTTAACTATTCATTTCATCAGACTTCAAACACAGCCTACATTCTTAAATGCGCATCTGTACCATCTTAAGGCCAGAAAATGAAAGCTGAGAATTTTCAATAATTCATGTGTCTAAGTTCAGAGGAAAGCTCTACACTGAACACATTATTATCACTTTCTTATGTTAAAAGTCTGTCACTTCTTTTCACATGTAACAAAATGGAGGACAAATTGGAATTACCTCTCGTGGCTTTTAAAAAAAATACTTCTTGGGCCTGTGCCAACATGATAAGACTGAGGGTCCCAACAGTATCTGGAGATATGTCCACAGTAGGCTCTCGATTTAAGGCAGATAAAACCGTCTCCTTAATGTGTAAAAAGGCACCACTAGCAAACTAGAGGAGGAAGAAAAGAATTTCTTTAAAATGTATAGGAACTCAGCAAGACAATGTTCTACTGTTACACACAAAACCACTTCAAATGTTAACTCAGCTGAACAGTTACTGTACTTAAATTTTTATATTGTGAAAAACAGATCTAAAACACCTGACCTACAGACAATAAGGATATTTTCCTAAACATTATAGAATTTCATGAGATTTAACCTACAGTAAAAATCAAGTGCAGCAAAAAAGTAAATTTATGGGACAACTTGATTAAACTTTTTAGAAATACCTCCTGAAAACTAACATGAGAACAGAGGCAAGGACAAATGTTTTTAGTACCAAAACGCTCTTGCTTTGGTCCCAAGTACATCTCTCAAATAATTAAACATGCCATACTTAAGGGAAACCTCAAATAGTATAGATTCCTAGTGACCATGACTACCCTGTACTAACAATTTTTTATTTGGCTTTCAGAGCCCCCTGGTGAAATGTTCCACATCAGGTTTTCCATCTCAGCTATATGTCGCTGAGGTTAACACTAAACTAACTTTGCTTTTATGAAACAAATGACCCTGGGAAAAAGAGACATATCAATCTGAGGTTAAAAGGTGTTGTGGGTTTTGCAGTTAAGCTACACAACAAAAACTCAAAACTAACTGTATTAAAGTGAACATCATGTTTGCTGCAGACATGAAGGACTGTGAAACTAGAATGTATGTCTCCAAGTAGTGATCAGCTGACCTGCTTTGTAATAGGGCACCTGCTGTGAATCACAGAGGTAACTCACAGAATGGAATGTGTCCTCGGTAATTCAGAATACCCTCTAAGAGCTCCCATGACACCTAACGGAGTTACAATTAATAGAAAACTAAATAAAATTTTCCTTCATTTTCACATTTTAAAATATTTGCCATTTACAGCCCCACAAAGGAAAGATATATGCATCACGTTTATCATCAGCACCCATCAAAACTTACGGCATGCCACAATTTGGAGCACGTGGTTGCTTAAAGTGCATTTTCCCTCACTTCCTTAGAACAGCACTCATCACCTCTCCCCTAAACTTAAGCAATGGGGAAGATCAAACTCCATCTCTGAAACAAGCAAATTCCAGAACCATGGAAGACAGTCTAAGGACCATTTCAAATTCCATAAAATTTGGAATCAGAACACCTGAAACCCCAGAGGACCACTTTATTAACACTTCTGCCCTTTAGTCTCTTTGCCTATAAAATGAGAATGACATTATATAACATGCATCAGAAAGTCTATGTGAAAACATGAACATACTCTGTAAATTTTAAAGCAATATAAAACATGAAAACATAATTATAGATGATATCATTTAACAATAATCACTTATTGCTCTTTAAACTGAAACAAAAAATAAAGGCTGAGTAAATGATACACTGCTGCCAAATAATATGCCATATTAGTAAATGACAGCATCTAAAATCTAAATATAGCTAACTTAAGAAAATTACTTATCTGGTCACATTTAACTATGACCTCTCCACAAGTCTCAGAGTTAAAATTTTCTGGCCAAGAAGTCTTAATTTTTGTGACACTGGTGAAATTTTAAGTGTGTGCTTAAGAAAAATTATGTAAAAATAATGTACAAATATTTTAAATGAGGTCATTTATTTAAAAGGAAATTACCAAGGATTTCATTTCAACATTTAATCATTTGTTCTCCCAATATTTAACGAGCCTTTATTATGTGCCAGGCACTGTGCTAGGTGCTGGGTATATCATGGTAAGGGAAAACAGAGCTGATCTACAGATAAGTAGCTTATCGGAGGGCTTCAAAAATATATATCAATTCATTAAAAAGTGCTATTTTTCAAGACAGTATCTGTGTGTAAAGAAACATCTAAAAACCTAAATGCAAATTATTTTCAGTTTAATCCAACTTAGCGTCGATCATTATGGAGTAACTGCTGTTCTGCGTACCTGGTAATGCTTAGCAGCGATTTTCAATCCTTCATCATTATCCAGGTTCTGTTCTGCTGCAATCTGGCTAGCTAAGGCTGCACAATTGAACAACACACAGCTCTTTTCATATCCTAAGCTTGCAAGAGCTGTAAAAAATTGAGAAGGAAAAATTCATCAGATTATTTTTTTCTGAAGAAAATGAATGTTTCAAAGTTAAATACTATGACCTCTATCCCACTGGCTCTCATAAAAACAAGTGGAAACCTGTTTTCTCACCCATAATACACTCCCATATTTCTAGCTGCCCTGCCAGACATTTATTTCCACAACAATATTGTCAACATCTAAAACTCAAAGATCAACAAATTAATCTTTCCTTTCCTTTATGTCCATACTGTTATTAGTCAGATTCGAAATGAAAAGCTATTCTCATGTCATTTTAAATCCAATTCAAATAAATTCTTTCCATTTTTCCACCACCTCTCTCAAAACTGTATCTTCCCATGACATTTAAACCAGTTCCTCACTCCTACAAACCTAAGCCAATGTAAGTATCTCCTAGCTGGCCCGCCATGTCTCACTCCCTTTCTGCCAATACATTTCCCAGAAGGCTAGAAGATTATTTGGTTAAAATACAATTCTGACCAAGAATCAACACACCTCACATCCACTGGGATAGTTACTATCAAAGAAAGAAAGGAAGGGATGCAAGGAAGCAAGGAAGGGAGGGAGGGAGAGAGAAAGGAAGGAGGGAAGATAATAACAATTGGTAGGCAGGCATGTAGAGAAATTGGAACCACTCTGTTAAAGCCACTGTGGAAAACAGTACAGGGATCCCTCAAAAAATTGGAAATAAAATTACTATATAATCCAACAATTCCACTTCTGGGTATAAACCCAAAAGAATTGAAAGTAGGGTCTCAGAGATATTTCGTACACCCATGTCTATAGCAGAATTACTCACAACAGCCAAAATGTGAAAGCACCTCAGCATCCATTGATTCATGAACAAATAAAATTCTCTCACATGCTACAACATGCATGAACTTTGAGGACATTATGCTATGTGGAATAAGCCAGTCACAAAAAGACAAACCCTCTATGATTCCACCCATATGAGGTATCTTAAGCAGTCAAATTCAGAGAAACAGAAAGTAGAATGGTGGTCACCAAGGATGGGGGAAGGGGACTTGTTGTTTAATGGGTACAGAATTTCAGATCTGCAAGATCAAAAGCTCTGCAAGATCTGTTTCACAACAATTGGAATATACTTAACACTACTGAACTGTACACTTAAAATTGGTTAAGACAGTAAATTTTATGTTATAGGTCTTTTTAACCACACACACAAAAAAGGGACAAAGTCAATCACAGTGACATTCAAGGTCTTACACAATATGCCAGATATTCAGCACTAAGCAGAATAATCAGAAGGCTTCTTACAAAAAACAAAAAAAAACCAAAAAAAACCCACTGAACAAACCATCTAGGAACATCAGAACAACACTACAGTTGTATGTTTATGCCACACAGCAGTGCCATCAAGTAAAACCCTCCTTGTTATACAGGATTTTAGTAGTCTCCCCTGTAATTATGGCCAGTTTCTCACTTGCCGCCAACCTAATTCTAGCCTCCTCACCGTAAAGTAAAGCAGACATACACACCATCTACTCTAACCTAATTTGTTAAATAAATGTATAAAAATCTAGAATAACCAGGATATGAGTAGAGCATGCAGCAAAATAAAGATCAAGGTGAACTGAAAACAAGAGCCCAGAGTAAACAATTCCAGGAATAGAAAACAACATTTCACAGATCCTAATTAGTATCCTTAAAGACACTCAAAGACAGTACATCCATAAAACAAGTAGAGGATGTTATTTAAGAAGAACAATCTGTGAATAAGAAAAAGCTCTTGGAAATTAAAACCTTGACTGCTAGAAGTTTTTCAAAAGAAAGGCTAGAAAATAATGAGGCAGCCTATAAATGGGAAAAAAAAAAAAAGAAGAAGAAAGAAAAGTGTAGAAGTTGTCAGTAAGTAGCTCAGAACAGCCAACATCCAGTTAACATACAGCATTCCAAGCAGAAGCAGGGGGGAAGAATGAAGAAGAAACTATCAAAGAAATTCATGAAAACGTCCCAGGGATGAAGGACACATGAGTCTGCAAACTGAAAGGGACAGCAGTAAATGCCATTCCCAAAGAATAAAGTGAAGGCCAAGTGGATCTTCTGAGATTTCCAACCATGAAAGATAAAGAGAAAACTGTAAAAAATCTTCACAAGAAAAAAGAAACAGGTCACCTACAAAAGAACACTCGGCAGACTTTTCATCAGTAACCCTGGATTACTGTTACTAAAGGCAAGGGAACAATGTCTTCAAGTTCTGAAGAAACATAATTCTAATTAATTCAACAAACATATATTAAAGCCAGTATGGCCCAAAAAAAGAGAACAAGGGACAAAATGACATCAGGGAGGTAAGAGAGAACCAATTTACACAGTAAAGCTTTAGCTTTTACTCTGAGTGCACTGGGAAGTCAAGAGAGTTTTGAGAAGAGACTCACTAATCCTGCACGGTGGCCAACAGACTGCAGGGAAGCCGGAGATGAGGGCAGGCAGCTGCTACAGGAAGGTGCTGAGAGGTGATGGATGGAAAATGCTGAGAGGTGATGGCAGCTCTGACCAGAATGGCAGCAGGAAAAGTGCTGAGAAGTGACTGCATTTCTAGTATCTTTCAAAAGAAAATCTGACAGGATTTATGGACAAATTAGCTAAATGTGGGGAATGAAGTGAAATAATGTCAAGAATGACCTAAGCACCAGGTGCCAGAATTTCAAACCAAATTCATGTGAGGGCAAAATATAGACATTTTCACAAAGAAGAGATTCAAAAATCTGACCTTTTCTGTCAAAGTTACTTACAAGTATATTCCAGTAAAAGAGGGAAACACACTATCCGGAAAACATGGCTCTAACCTAATGGACAATAATTACGCAGCAGCTTTAAATAGCAGCAGTCCAGATTCAAGCAAGAAAACAGAAGACGACAAAGGAAACAGAAGAGTCTCTCAGGAAAAAGGGAGCTCAGAGAAATAAATTGCAAGACTGAGAGTTTGGAAAATCTTGAGAATATGGTAAAAGCACAAAATGTGAGTGGTCATGGAGCAAGTAAGACATCCAAATACACACAGAGCCATACAAGAAAGTCATAGTCTAAATATGAAGCAACTTACCAACCATATGACAGAAAGTTAGTGGAGTTGAAACAGAATGGAATACATTCCAAGCAATAGATAAAAGTAAACATTTTATGTATAAGATACACAACTCAGCCTGCTATATTTCCCATAAACAATGCATCCCAAGCTGCAGTCTGTCATTTTATTTTGATAATTTCTCATGTTTCAAAGAAATCTTTTTTCTTTTATGATTTCGTCTATCATATCTAAACTTAAGGGTTTTTTTTAAAATATTCAATTCTCCTTTCTTCAAAGAGTTTTTCCTCAATAGTCAACTCCATTCTTGTTTTTCACCTGAGCTCTTCTTTTTCACTAAGTTTTTCAAAATGAAAACAGTTTGATTATAAATAAAAATAGATGTTCTTAAATTCAGCTAATTGTTTAAACGCACACACACACACAAGAAAATAAATTAAAAATGATCCAATATCAAATCTCCCAGAGTTCCCCAGTAATCTTTTGTTGAGTATCTTGATAAATAACTATATATATGTAGGTCCACATACCCCGTTTTCCACAAACAGTACACTACACCATACTCAGGGTGTCTGGAATGCACAACTCCAGGAAGCAACAATACCCTGGGTTCTATACTAACGGCATCCCAAGCAGACCAGTCTGGGGCCCCCTGAGCTATGGAGATGCACCAACTCTGTCCTGTAACAGACCTTTTATTCAATATTCAATGGACATAGCTTTACAGGACAACAAATAACATATCTGCATTATCATTCTTAATAATCTAAAATAACACAATATTCAAATGAATATGTAGCCATGCTTTATTTAACCAAAACATTACTGATGGATATTTAATTGCCAATACTTCTTACTAGAAATGCCCTGATGACCTACCTCCTGCTTTATTTACGCTCTTAATTTTTTTTGCTTCCCATTTATTCTAGGTCCCTGGTTTACGAACTTAACCTATCTCACTTAAGTATCTCCTAGCTCTCCTGTCATCTGCTCCCTATTCTCAGACAAACAATTGGCTTACCACTACAGCACCAAAAGTCCTTTCCTTGATCTTGCCTCTCTCTCAGCATAAGGCTCCCTTTGTCCCCAAATCCTTTCTGCATGCTTTCTGAAGTCAGCCACCTACAAGTGCTCCCCACATTTCCTGGCTTCTGATCCTCCCCTTAACCTGCCACAGTCTGACTTCTTCAGCATGCCCCGAGTGAAACTTCCTTCTCTGACAATTCCAGTGAATCTACAACCTTGTATGTCATGACCTGCCACAATGTCTCTGTGCAATAATGTTCAGAGTCATCTGAAGGTATTTCAAAGACATGAATTCCAGTGGCCCACGGTGAGATTCCCTATCACATCTGGCATTCTGTACCTTTATCTTTAAAGATGCAATTTGTATTTTTAACGTATTCCCCAGGTAATCATAATGTGCAGACAGGTTTGGGAACCACTGGACTACACAATCTTTGAAACTCTTCTGGCATTCAATTCCATATCCCTGTTTTTCCCTGGTTCCTCTAAGATCTGAAAGCTTTTTCTCAACTGCATTTCTAGGAACCTCTTCCTTCATTTCCCCTGAATGTTATATTCCCCGGCTCTGGCTTTCATACTTTCCCCAATCTATCATCTACCGCAGAGGAAATAAATTCATTATCATTTAATGAAAGCTGTTCCCAAATCTGTGTCTCTACCTCTTTTGAGCTTTAAATACATTATTTCCAAATCCCAGAGAGAAATTTCCACCCAGATGTAACATGGCAAAGCCAAACTTAACCTGTCTATTGAAAGGAATTATCATCCACAGGTCAAACCAAGTTATAAATCTTAGACTCAACCTTCAACTCCTACTCTTCCTTTTGACAGATACCAGCAGATCCACCAGTTTCATCTCTGAACTACCTCTCAGACCCACCCCTTCCCTGACCCACATATACTACCTACCTTGTCTAGTCTCATCTCTCACCAGTCTAACTGATCTCTATCTCTTTAGTCTCTGGAGTTAGGCATCCTGGAGTCATATCCGGCTTCATTAGTCTTTGCTGTATGATCTTAGAAAGTCACTTATTCTTTCTAAACCAGTTTGTACAACTGGTAATAACAGTGCCTTTCATTGGGCTATTAGGGAATTTAGTACGATAGTGTGTATAAAGTCCTTTCACAGTGCGCAGGTGGAATAAGTACTCAATATATAGTAGTTATTAACACATAAGAGGAAAGAACACAAATTCACAGTATATTTCCAACTCGTCACCATCTACTCTCCAATGTCTTCACCCCCCCATCCCCAATATACCCACAGTTTCAAGCTTTAACAATACTAATATGTATTACATATAGTAACTTATACTATACGACATTGTTATGTAATATTATGCAGTACATATTCTATAATGCAAACACATTATATAATATATAGTTATACGTAACATAACGTTAACATCATTCATTGCCGCTAATATTTACTGAGCCTTGTTCTAAGGATTTGACTTGTATTCACTCATTTAATCCACACAAGAACCCAATGAAATAAACAGTACCTCACAGTACTGTTACCCACTTCACAGATGAGAAAATTAATGCGCAGAAAGGTGAACTTGCTGAGCTGGTAGAGCAAAAAAGCCTTTACTCTTCTGACCTTTGGTTATAATGTTCTACCTGTAATAATATTTTGTATCTGGAAAAACCAAATTCATCCTTCAAAGCCTCACTCAAACATTGTTTGCTTTCAACAGGCAGAATTAACTACTTCCTCATCTATGCTCCCATAGTTTGTTCAAAGACTACTGTACTCCCTGCTATATTTTAGAAGGATCAACTGTCTTCCCAACCAGACTGAGTACAACTATCTAATTCATTTTTAAAACTAGGACAGTGCCTGGCAAGGCATAGGCTCTCTACAAATATTTGGAAATTGCATTAAAAGTTGAAGTTAAAAAAAAAAAGAAACAAATTTTTTTATTATTTACAAAGAGTCAGGAGAGCAATTTTAAAAACCTAAAACAACAATACAAAGTATTTAGACCAAGTTTCCTATCATTTTTATTTAAAAATTACATACCCAATTTTACGGATCCTCCAAAAAGTGAACCTTTATCAAAAGCATCCTTCCAAGTAAATGTCAAACAGATCTTGATAAAAAGAGAAAAAAGAGAAAATTATGTTACCTTCCTGGACCTCATCAAATAAGTCTCTTTCGAATAAAAATCGACAATGAAGAAAAGGCAAAAGCTTCAACCTGTCTAAAACAGTATCTTCTCTAATCAATCAACTCCTTCTCCTTTTTGTGGACCATAAAATTTTCTCTTCTATAAGTAAAAAACTGGCACTAGGCTATTTCAAATGGTCATTCTGCCTCAGTAAATGCACCTATATTGTCTTCTTCAGCAAACACGACCTTACTCATCTTTACAATTACACAGTGGCTTAAACAGTACAAGTACTTAGTAAATGACTGTCAAATAAGCCAAAAGAAGTAAAGGCAACAAAGTAAGTGCTACAGGTTTCCTAGCAGATAAAATTAAAAACTATTCCATGATGGCAAAAGTAGGAGAATGTTTACCTTTGGAAGGCAGGATGAGATGATATTTTATTTCTTGATTTGGGTGGTGGCTATACATGTAAATTCACTTTGTGAAGATTCAAGCTACACACACAACATGTTCACTTTTCTGTATGTATGTTATACATGAGTAAAGTCTACTTAATTAAAAAACTGAATTTCATTCTTCTAAAGTAGTCCACATGTGAAGATTAAAAAGATCTTAGCCTCTTTTATTTATATACCACAATTCATACAAAACTTTAAACCCTGAATTAGAGAAATTTTCAATACACACCCAAACTATCAAACTGTAGTAATTCTAAATAATAAAATTGAAAAAGGAAAAAAATAAAAATAAAAAACAAAAGACAGAAAAAAAAATACACACCCAAACTAGAGGGAAAAACACAAGGAACTCACACATACCCATCACCAGTTTCAGCCTTCTGCCCTTCTTGGTTCATCTAACCTCACTTCCCAACCCCACTTCCAACACACACTCTTTTTCCTGGAGTATTTCAAAGGAAATCTCACCATATTATTTGATCTGTAAAAATTTTAGTACCAGAATGTTTAAAGTATTTTTTATAAAGTAAAATTTAGAAATGTCACACAAAAACTTTTAGCAACTCTCCCAAATAAAACTGTAAGAAATCAGCATTTTCAATATCTAGCCTTTAAGAGAAAGTAAAAATTGACATACTTATAGTACAATATCTAATCATAAGAACATTTGCAAATTTATATGCAAATACAACTTGTGCAAATAATTTTTAAAGCACACAAGCTAGACTAATACTTCCTGAATCACAGTTTCCTATTTTATTCCGTAAAAACCAAAGGAAAGGACACCAGAGATTATATTAGTCTACAGATTCTATCGATTAAACAGTGCAACCCAACACACTGCATGAGCCGCGAAGTGACTGAGGAATGACATGAACAGAATTTCCAGGAGACTCTTCAAAAGGATATAGATTCATATCAGATGGGCTTTACAAATTTCTAATTTGTATTTTAAAAGTCTCATAAAAACTTAATGACAGTGAAGAGGCACCATTTATTTTAGTAAAATACCACAGGCAGGAGGAAATGGGTGATTCACCATTATCATAAACCTTTAAAACAAATTAAAGACTTACCTGGTTTTCAGAAAATGGAAATTTGGGTTCAATGGAACAGATCTGGTCATAATATCTAAAAAACAGAGCAAATTTGTTTATTTTTCTTTTTGTCTCCCTTCCCTGAGGAGACATACCAAAAAAATATTACTAAGACCCATGTAAAGCAGCATACTGCCTATATTTTCTTCTAGAAGTTTTATGATTTCAAATCTTACATTTAAGTCTTTAATCAATTTTGAATTTATTTTTGTGCATGGTGTGAGAAAGTAGTCCAGTTTTCCCAACACTATATACTGAAAAGGTTGTCTTTTCCCTATTGTATAGAAGATTAAGAGGTACCAACTTTCAGCTGCAAAATAAATGAGTCACGAGTTTGGAATGTAGTCAATAATTACGTAGTATCTTTGTATGGCAATGGATGGCATCTCGACTCACTGTGATTATTTTGAAATGTATAGAAATATCGAATCACTATGCTGTTTGACAGAAACTGACATAGTGCTATAGGTCAATTCTACTCCAAAAACAAACAGAAAAAGAGATCAGATTTGCAATCACCAGATAAGGGGGTTTGGGGGAGGAGGAATTTAATCACAGCAGTCAAAAGGTACAAACATCCAGTTATAAGATAGGTAAGTACCAGGGATGTCATGTACAACACAATAAATATAATTAGCACTGCTGTATCTTATATATGAAAGAAGAGTGGTTAAGAGAGTAAATCCTAAGGGCTCCATCACAAGAAAAAAAACTGTTTTCTATTTCTTTGATTTTGTATCTGTATGAGATGATGGATGCTCACCACAGTTACTGTGATAATCATTTCATGATGTATGTATATCAAATCATGATGCTGTACATCTTAAACTTATACAGTGTTGTATGTTAATTTTATCTCAATAAAACAGGAAGAAAAAACTGTAAAAAAATAATTAATTGATAAATTAAATATAAAAAGAGGTCAAAATGTAAAATTACCAGAGCTAAATTAAAGATCACATAGATTTATGCAAATAGAACCGATTTAAGGTGGGGAGGGAGTATCTCAAGTGATAGAACTCATGCTTAGCATGCAGGAGGTCCTGGGTTCAATCCCCAGTAACTTCTTTAAAAATAAATAAATAAATAAACCTAATTACCTCCCCCACCACCACCAAAAGAAAAACAAAGGATTAGTTTAAGAATATACTAAAATTACACATGCTTACTTTGAGTGGCCCACAAATCAAATTTCAATAAGCCATTTTAAGGTTAATTAATATAATATTTTAATGGATAAACCAGTAGCTAAAATGCATGCAATGAAAAAACTGTAAACAAAAAACTGTAACACTAAAGAAAAATATTTATTACTATCACTGGCTAAAAGCAAACTTACATCTGCCTAGGAAAACAATATATTTCTTAAAATACTATTTCTTATTAAGGTAACTGTTTATATCCAGTTAGGCAGATTAACACCTCTGGTAAACTACTGATCAAAAACAGGTTTACCAACTTTCATATATGACTTGGGTACGTCTGCTCCTGCACCTGCCCATCTCCACCACTGCCACGCAGTTCATCAAAGCTTCCACTCTCCCTTTAAAGTAGACTGATCCCTTTAAAGTAGACTGTTTCCTAGCCAACTTCCCAGTCTCCTTTCCTCCTTTCTCATCTTCTTCATTTTCGGTCCTCCACACAGCAGCCAGAGACACCATCAAACACGAGGATGTCTTCCCCTATCAGGCTGACCTTTGAGCTAGCAAAGCGATTGAGGGGGCAGGGGTGTGGGTGGTTCAAGGTCAAGCTTTCTTCACAGGCCTCTAATGTTTTTTCCTTCCCTTATTATCTCCCTGCCCCTCCCCTCAACCCTATCACCAGGGCTCTTTGCAATTGTTATTTCTGAGGTGAGGTTTTCCGGAGGGGTGGGACCAATATGTCAGAGATCAAGTTTTTGGCTGGCATGGCAATGAGTTTGGTTACAAAGAACAACTGAGCAATTAAGTAAACACACTGAAGCTAATGGGAGTCAGCTTTCTAACTAGCAGAGAAAGGAAGGTAGGAAGCTAGAAGAAATGCTATGGCTTTGGATCAGAATTGGAGGCATCAGTGTGAACTCATCTTTTAATATAGCATAATGTAGATATAAAAGGAGGTATAAATATGAATGTGTGTGTCTATCTCCTAAATGTATATGCTCATAAGTCCTAGAAGCAATAATACCTCAGTAGCAGTAAGCACACTTGGAGCCCAGATAAATAGTGCTCTGCATTAAAGGAAGCCAGTGCTCCTTAGAGAATGGTTGGCTCCATGGCTGAGGCTGAAAATTCAAGAGCCAAGCCTAAAGCATCCAGCTATGCCAGAATGTTAAGGATATACTCAAAAAATGATGACACATCAAAAGAACACAAGAACTAGCTTTAAGCAGCTCCCATGAGCCAAGTTTAGAACAATTTAAATAAATAACAAATCATAACCCACTGAGGAAAATTCTAAAGTAAACAAAATAAAGAGAGGAATAGGGAAAGCTCTACCCTACAGTACAATGACAAATAATAAATCTAGAAGAAATAATGAAGTTATAAAGTCACCATTTGGCACCTTTCATAATATAATATCTAATTCGGGTAAAATCACTAATGGAAACTATAACATAAAAGTTTGACAGAAACAGGATTATTACAAAATCTCAAAGTACCTCCCCACAAAATACTTACTAATTAGTACAACTTATTTATTAACTGTGAGGTCAAGAAACCTGGGAGACATCATCTCAACAAAGTGATAAAAGTTAAACATTACCAGCAATGGGACAAATCAACCTCGTGTTTTTCCTGATATGCACTAAAAAGAACACAGCATCACTCTGGTGGTACTACAGCCCCCAAATGCATATTCACAAGAAAATATGAGGGAAAGCTTTATTGAGGGACACTCTACAAAGTAACTAGCCTGTATTCTTAAAAAATGCCAAGGTCGTGAAAGACAAGGAAAAACTGAGGAACTATTCCAGACTGAAGAAGACTAAAACAGCAATTAAATGCAACACAGAATCTGCGGTTAGCTCCTGGACCTCTAAACATTATTGGGGGAATTAGCAAAATTTGAATGAGCGCTATAGAGTAAATGGTAATAATCAATCAATGTCAATTTCCTGATCTTAAAAGTTGTACTGTGGTTACGTAATAGAGTATTCTCGCATTTAGAAAAAGAACTCTGAAGTATTAAGTGCTCAAACCCTTTAATGGATTCCCATTACACTTTAAACTACATCCAAAATTTAGACAAGGTGGTCTGGCACTACCTGGCCATCATTCAACTCTCCAGCCTGATCTCAGAATATTCACGACACATTCTAGTCACTAAAATTCCATGCTCTCTCCTGGCTCGGGGCCTTCGCACATTTTTTTCCTTGTACTTGGAAACTTTCTTATCACAAGTTCCCATTTCTCTTGTCCTCATTCATTTATGCATTTAACAAAGATATACTAAGAATTTACTATGCACCAAGCAGTTCTAGAACATAGGAATTGAGCAATATATAAACTTTTAAAACTTTGTGCCCTTGTAGAGTTTACTTTTAGAAGGGGATACAAAACAAGAAAAATAAGTAAAAATATAGTATAGCAGACAGTGCTAAGTGCTATGCAGAAAAATAAAGAGGTGAGAGGGATAAGGTATGTGTATGGGGTGAGGTGAGAAGACTAGTTTTTTTTTTTTAATAACATGGTCATTTGACTACACAGAAGAAAAAAATAAAAAATCTTAACACATCATCAATAGTAGAGAAGGCATGAAGAGGTGATGAGATATGAGAGAAAAGCATTACGAGTCAAGGGAAGAGCAAGAGCCAAGAGTACGCCTGACAGTATCCCTGCCATGATAAAGAGGCGTGTGACCACAAAGCGGGCACAGGAGGAAACAGCAGGAGATGAAATCAAGAAATAATGATGCCTTGAGTGCAACTTGTAGGACTTTTGGCTCCTACCATACAGAGTAAGAGAAGGAACCATCAGCAGGTCTGGACAAGAGTAACACAAGCCAATCTATTTTCAGAGTTGCCCTGCCCTGGCTGCTGTGTGGAAAACTGACTTGCAGGTGTGCAAGCACAGAAGCAGAGGTGAGTAAGGAAGCCACTGCAGAGACCAGTCAAGGGAGAATCCCCAGTGGTGGCAGAAGTGACGTGCCAGTCGATCTAACTTCTTGTTTAAATTAGTTCCCCTCTTCACAACCTCTCAGGCCTTTGAATTTTTCCTTCAGAGAACTTACCACAACTGGTAATATATTTATTTGTGGGATTACGTTTAATGCCTTTTCTCTCAAAGGATTCTAAACTCCATGAAAGTATAAAGTGGCTCTGTTCCTTCCGTTTCACTGTTAGCTCCAAACAAATGAAACAGTAAAATGCAGTGTCTAAAAAACAACTTTTTTTCTTATCTCCAAAAAGTAAAACCTAAGATTCTCTGTTTTGGGAATGAACAGGAGCTACCAAAGAACATGCCCATAGGTGAGAATAGCAAGTACCAAGGGCCTGAGGCCACAGTGTGCCTAAGGGCATGCACATCACAGCAAGGAAGTTGATGTGGCCACAGAGCAGGGACTGGCATACTTTTTCTGAAAAGGGCTACTCTAGGCTTTGCCAAGCAAAAGGTAAAATCAAGGATAATATGCAAGTACTTATATAACCAGAGAGAAAACTCTTGCCCTGCCCTGTACCATTTTTATCTGGGTTGGACCATCTCAGATGGTGAAAACACTAGGTACACAGTTGTCTAACTGCCATTAGCTGGAGACTCTGAAGGAAGAGTACCCAGTCTGGTGGCGAGAAGTCCAGGGGAGGGAGGTGGGCAATGGCCAACACAGTCCGTTTCACTCTCTGCTCCAGCGACACACGAATTCTGGCATGCCTTCCTCTCCTCCCAGAGTCCAGCCATCTCAACTTTGGCAACTGGCACAGATGGCAGGAGACAAGGCAATTTGCTGTGTCATCAATTCCCAGTTTGAGACTCCACCATTCACTGCTAAGCCGTTGCAAGCAGAAACCCAACATGTAGGTGGCACCAGAGCAAGCTCTGGGCAGCAGAGAGGCAT